TCGTTTTCCAAAATCTGCTTTCTCTACAAAGCTAGGAGGCAGTGACAACGTTTGCGAGCATCACATATATTTTATTACAAAAAAACATATTTCTTCCACTATACCTAAATAATTCTTTCATATTCTTTAACAAAAATATTTTACATTTTCCATAAACAATCACAAAACTTTTGACTTTACAGGTAAGCCCAACCCCCATATGTATTCCGTTTATTGTTCAATCAAAAACGAAAAAATCAATAAATAATTCAAAATTTTACCAATCGTTCAATCCACATCATATGCGTATGCTTCAAACAAAATTCGCCATATAGAAAATATTTACCAACATTCTTGTTGAGCAATTTATACAGCGATAACAAAACAACAACAATAATGACGATATTTGAATGCAAAAATATTTCCTAGCATTTGGAACTCAACCAATCATTGAATGTCCCCATGTCCCCATGCTCAGAAAAAATCGAATATGAAATAACTAGAAAGCACGAATTTACTAACTAAAACAAGCAGCCAGTCAATGAATGGCCCTATGTACTGCTTCTCTAAAAATTGAAATATGATAGAAAGACACAGTTAACAGAATACTATTGTAAATCAATTCTGTACGAATGAGATTTATGCATACACATTCAGTGATATGAAAGTAATCACTAATACACTGTTTTAGAAGAATAGAATAAGTATCAGAGATGTCCACAGGGCAGGATAATCCTTCCCTGCTCTGTCCTGAAGCAGGGCAGGGTAAAAAAAGTTTTTGCTACCCTGCCCTGTTTCAGGGCAGGGTAAGGTAGCACATGGTGCAGGGCAGGACAGGGTGAGACCTTCATACCTTGCAAATATGAATATTGACTTTCTGAGTTTTCATTTTTGAAAAGAGTGTTTTTTTGTCCTTGCGAGTCAAAAACCGAAAATTAGTTACAGAAGGCGGTACCAGTCGTTCAATTTTGTCTATTCTTGCAACGACAACTAACGTAGGAAGAGAATTTTCTACTGCTGGTTGGATCTTAAATGAAAGGAGAAGTCATCTTCAACCAAATACATTAGAAAACATTTTATTTATACAATCAGCAGAAAAAGTTTAATTTAAAAATAAATTATGCATTTTTCTGTTTTTTTCTTATTGATAGTAGCTGTCATATATTTTTTGTCGTTCTTTTTGTTGAACTTTTTTTTCAGATGAAGATCTATAGTAAAGTTTGCGAGCCCAGGTTGCGTATCTTATGCTATTTACTTGTCTTGCGTTTGGTAATATTCATACATTTTGTTAGTTGAACTGTTAGTCATTTATATTGTGAAATAGATTTAAATGAATCAATTTTCTATGATATAATACACAACCGTTGTTGCTCTTGAACTGAATTAAAAAGCGCAGTAAGAGAGCATATCGATTCTACTGGGTACCCTGCCCGGACCTGCTCAATCTAGATAAGCAGGGCAGGGTAGATTTTTTATTTTCTTGTTAACAGGGCAGGGTAGGAGAAGGACAGGGTACAGGGCAGGGCAGGGTGTAAAAATTCACCCTGTGGACATCTCTGATAAGTATACTTAATTATAACTCGTTATTATTTAAAAAACAATATTTTTTTTTTCTATCAACTAATAAGTAACTAGAAATGTAAGTTCTATAATAAAACAAACAAATTGTCTGAGTCATATTCGTACGAAATCTCTAAAGAAAGAAAATCTGAGAAATTGATTCCAATTTTAATTAGATTCGAATCTCAACTGCAACATATTTTTTCAATCGAACATACCAATACGATAATATATTTATTATGTAAGAGAATACATGACAAAATAGTAGTTGAAGAGACACCTAAAAAGAAAATAATCGAAATAAAATATATTTTTTTAAATCGTACATACAAATAATCTATTATATATGAAGCGTCAAATAATGAATAATCCAAAACGAATTGAAGAAATACCTAAAAATTAAATAATCACCATGCTATTTTTTTCCTCAATTGAACTTACAAATTAGCAAGTATATAGGTAAAAGCACTTTCAACCACCGAATACAAATCAAAGAAACAGCCAAAAATAGATAATCAACATTAGACGTTTTCCCCAATCAAATACACTAATCAACAGGTTTATCGGAAGAGACACAGGATTACTGATCAAGTAACAGTTCAACAGGCACCTGAAATTAAATAGTCAATATAGAATATATTTCTTGAATGGAGCAGGTCAAATACGTGAATATATTTCTAAACTCAGTGGATGAATGACCAAATAGAAATTGAACAGACACCTAAAAAGAAAATAATCAACAAGGAGTATATCTTCTTGATCGAACATACAAATAAATTGATATATATGAAATGTTATAAAGTAAATGAACAAGTAGATATTGAGTAGACACCTAGAAAATAAATAATCAACATGAAATTTGCTATCTTGAATCAAGCATACTAATCAACACATATGCAGGAAAAGACACAGGATGGATGATCAATTAACAATCATACAGGCACATGAAAATAAAATAATCAATATAGAATATATTTTTTCAATCGAACATGCCAAGGATTCAATATATATAGTGTTACATGATGCACGGCCAAGTAAATATTGAAGAGAAAGCTAGAAAGTTAAAAAAAATAAACATACTATTTTTTCCCTCAATTGCGCATACAAAACAACAGATATATATGCAATGTTAGAAAATGAAGACTACGTAGCAATAGAAATGATACCTTGAACGAATATAATGAACATAGAATATTTTGTTTCGATTGAACATACAAATAATTTGATATTTATGATTTGCACTGTGGAAGTTAAAACTGTTTTTTAAAAAGTTGATAGTTAAGAAAAACGGAAAAAAGTTAAAATGGTTATAACTTGGGTTATAACTATCAATCGTAGTTATAACTATCAACTACAGTTATAACTATCAACCATTCTAACTCGATTAACTTTCTCAATTTTCGAGTAGATTTAATTAAGTTGAACTAGTAATTATTTTGATCTAATTGATGTGTTTGATTGAATAAATTAAAATAACTATATTCCATTGTTTTTTACTTCAGAAACTTGGTATTTATAGATTATTCCCTATGAGTTTTTTTTCATGTATTCGTCTTCAAGTTACATTTTCTCGTAGTTATCGGTCGCCTATGATTGAAACAGCGCATCTTTACGGTGTAATATTACGTTTTTTCTATGTTAACAGCAGCGAACGAAACGCGAAAATCACCATTATTTTTATTGAACATATATTTATCAAGCAAACACGATTATAAATTAAAAGTATGTTCTTGAAAGTTTCATAATAGCATAAATCAGTCGAATATTAACATTGTTATAACTTTCAGTCAAAGTTATAACTACCAACCTTGGTTATAGCTTACGGTCATAGTTATAATCTTGAGCTTTACTTAGAAACAGTTTGGTTATAGCCGCTATCTAGTGCAATTTCCGACATTGCTGAAGATCACCCATGTAAAAAAATTAGGATAAAGATCAGATCAAAATCGATTAAAATCATATGCTTTTAATCGATTTTAATCATTTGGTAATCGATTATAATCAAAATGAACCGAAAAAATCAACATTTCATTGATTAATCTGATTTACTTCGATTATAATCGATTAAAAATTCATGAAAAAAATTGATTATAATTGATGCAATAGGAAGTAAATTGGTTAAAGATCTTTTCATTTATCATGAAGAAAAACAAATTAAAATCGATGTTTTTCCTACAATTTGTAATTGATTATGAACAAAATTAATCAGAAGAATGAATGCAATTTTGATTTTTTCGGTTATTTTCGATAATAACCATTTTTTAACCTTTTTAAATCTCATTATTAACCTTTTTTTTACATGCGTTGAGACTAAGTAAATCTATTAGTCATATCCACGCCTTAAATAAGGTACGCGCACATCAGACATCTACGAGCCATCATCCACTTTACCCTTCTGAATAATGTAGGAAGCATTTCTCTTTATCTTTAACTTGTAAGAAACCAATGGCTGCTTCTTCTTTTTCCCTCTGATTACCTTGATTTCTTCATTCTTTCGTTTCTCTTCTCACGTTTGTCGATATAATGACGAGGAAGAACGAGAATAGCAGAAGAATCTGTGTTGATAAAAGTAGTGATGGACATATAAGAATGAACTGAGAATGACTTGACATAGTTATGTCATGTTTAAATGAAATATACGTGATTGTACTAAGAGGAAGCGTTATCTAAATTTCTGCATAATATATACTAAAGATGGTTACCATTTTAGAGAATAAGAAATATAATACAGTAGTTTCAGTTTTTAAATACTATTCTCATCTACTTACATTTTAAAAATTATCATTGGTCATACAACAAAAAATATATTGTGTCACCCTTGCATTCACTTTCGCCATATAATTACGAGAAAACTTAACTTGCAGATGAATACATGACAAAAGAACTCAGAGAACAATCTATAAATACAAAGTTTCTGAAGTAAACAACAATGAAATACATATATTCTAATTTATTTTATCAAACATGTAAATTAAATCAGAATAATTAATTACTATTTGAACTTAATTAAACTTACTCAAAAATTGAAAAAGTTAATCGAGTTACAATGGTTGATAGTTATAACTACGGTTGATGATTATGACTCCACTAACTGTTTGACTGAAAAGTTCATCAGTTATAACTCTACCACTTTTAACTTTCATATTGACCCACACTCGCACCGTCCCCAATGTAAGTTTTGTTGCTGTTGAACATGAGTTCGAGATTTATTCAAATGATTAAAGAAATGAGAATAAGGAATAACAACATCAACCACATAACAATTGATGTACAACAAAACTAAATAACAATCGAACATGAGTAGAAGAAAGTATCTCTATACATAACGATTAACTCATCAAGAAGAAGGAAAGAAACACATATAATAGAAAGAAAATGAAAAATAAACGAACATGTATATATTCTTGTCAGGAATAATAAATTTTTTACTATTAGAAAAACCTTTATTGGTGTTTTTGATATTAAATGTCTGTAAATGTTACTACACTTGTTAAATAATCCATTATTCTGGCTTGTGTGTTGGATGAATGTAAACTGATTTGCCAAGCCACTCTTGGTTTTGTTTCATTTGTGTAACGAATTCGTAGAAGTTCCGACACGATTTTACTAGGATTAGCGCATTGTGGGCCTGAGAATCCGTCATATTCATGGCGTGCACGATTATTTATTTGTCCCCTGCGACAATCTCTAACAAAATGTTGCCATCTAGTTAAATTATCTAAATTTTGTTCCAATGTTGTATAATCAACTTCATAAATATTCCATGTATTATAAACTTGAGCTGGCACTTGGAAAATAAGTATTGCTGCTTGATGATCAGCATAAGGTGCAATATGACGTTGACAAAAATCACTAGCATCTTTAAAGTATATGTTAAGATAAAAGCCTGGTCCAAAATCTAAATTGGACCGCGCACCCATAGCATCGAGACCAAAATGAAGAATATTAACTGCCTGTTGTGCTTGAGTTGCATGAAATAAGATTTTCTCACTACCTTTCTGTTGTATAATCCCAGTTCTTTCTAGGCTTATATTTATATCATTTGTACGAAAATTGGTAATTCTAATTGTTTGAAATTTTCCAGGAAAAAGATCTTTTGATACTTGGATATCTAATGGTTTAAGTTGGTTTAGTGGTGTGGATGTTATTGGTGGATCAAGTGTTATTTCAAATATAACAAAAAATTGATGTAGATAATATTGAAGAGCATAATAAATGGCATCTTGTTTATCATCATTTTCATATTTTGTAGTTTGTTGAACAATAAACTTAACACAATCCGAAGTCAAACCTAATTTTGCTAATTGTAATTCAAAAGTAGCTTCATGGTAATTAGGACAAGTGTCAATTTGATATTTAAAATAAGCCGGAATTAAAGCAAATAATGAACCAGCATCATTGTATCCCATATCTAACCACTGCAAAAAGTGTTCGGCAACAAGACCTAATTGCGTTAGTTTGTCAACATCACGATACGATGATAATTTTTGATATAGATCATCATGAGGCAGTATTGAAGCAGCTTCTACCTATAAAAAAGAAAAACAGAGAGACTATAAAGCCAACTGATTCAAAATATTGTTACCAATGGAACTGCAACTGTTAGTGATTCTAAAGCAAAACGAGTACAATGAAAGGCATCTCTTTGCAATATTTTTATTTTAAAAACTGTGTCCCTACCTGTTCTTCTGATCACATCGATAATGGTATCGTCAATCGAGAAGTCGTTTTCACCAAGACATATATGATAATACTGTGCAGTTATGTCTTCTTCTAAACAACCTTTTTCGGCATGTTTTTTTTGAAATCTGTTCCATGGATTACTAGGTGTTTCATGACCAATTATTTTTGTTTTCAAAATAACTAGAAGAACTAACTAGATGAAGATAAATCAGCATTAAATGTATGCTTTTTACCTTGTTTTTGTTGAAATACATCAATTATGCTAATAGTTTCTTCAATTACTGTTCTGACACCAATTGGACGATCAGTTTCTTCTTGATTACGTAAAGACGTTAAAAAAATACGCTGTAAATTAACTGCATCTTTATTGTTCGCTTTCCATTTAATTAAACGTTCTCGTTGGGCCATTAATATCGGAGAACTTTGCAAATAAGCAGGAGGATTTTTTTGATTTGCATCATCAAAATGCTTGATATCTTTTTCAAGTTCTTGTCGACAATAAAAAGAAGTTTGTAAAAAATCTGCGTGATTTAAAATGATAAATGAAGGTAAATATGGTAACATTGTTAACGTCTTTAGTGCATTGTCATCAATATCATATTGATAATGTAACACAAGCCAAATAGCATGAATTGGAAGTAGATCATTTCGAATAAATTCCTGTATTTCATCCCAACTTTTTTTATTTCTTTTAAATTCTGGTGTTTCAATAAACGTTAAATGTTTATCCAGGCATTTTATTTGCTCATATTCCATTCCAGGCATAGTTTCGTATTGAATATTTTCACCACATATTGTTTTAATTAATGTTGTTCGACCACTATCAGCAGAGCCCAACACAAGAATTCGACGTTCGGTTTTAGCACTCGCCATGTTAAAACTTTTTCTTCAGCTAAACAGAATCTAAAAGTAATAGGATTTATTGACAACAAATTAAAAACTTCTCAAATTTTGAAATTTAAAGCTTTAGTTGCACAAGGAAAAAAAAGGAATTTCATAAGCCTGATTATAATGTAACAGTTTCAACCATTTTTATCCAGATATTTATGTTCATTTTTTCAGTTTCATTCTACAGAATGTATCATAAGACACAGAAAAAGAAAAAATGATCAAATCGTCACCTTTTTCAGACTTATTTGAATAATAAACTCTATAAAAGAAAGAATAGAATAGAAGTTTTGCAATTATGGCTACAACGCAACATTTTCAACTATTTTGATGTACGGTATTTTTCTGATGTTTTTTACCATAAGAGAAGAAGATTGAATTAATATTGGATAATTTTCTCAGCAGACTATCTACAGTGTCAAAAGAAATGTCTTCATAAATCACTTGAATTATTTCAAAATGCGTCAGCTAGGTGTAAAACTGCTCGCTAGATGCATTTGTCTATCTTTTTTACTGTTGGTATCTTGATGTTTTTAAAAAACATTTCTAAGTGATTACTTTTTTTGATAAAGATAGCTTAAGTGCATTTTATACACATCACGAATAGATGAAAATTCCACAATGCATGAGCTTCAATTAAGACACAAATCGACCATTAACCATGGATAAATTATGTATTCAGATTCAAGGCGTCAAAGCACAACCAGAATCTTCTTAAACATTGACTCATATTGATGGCTATTTAAAATACATCTAGGTAGAATAAACCGAGAGGAAAAAAATGCTCTTGTGGCATTTCTTTTTCAACAACTAGAGTGATTTCATGCTCTTAGATATGAACCTACAAGGTAATGTTCATATGTCGCCAACTACTATGTTCTCAGGGTTGCAAATGTATTTCTGACTAGATTTCACGATAGCTCGTTCATATTCTGCAAGTTTCAATACTTGAGCGTGTGGGTGAGATGTGGGTGTGGATATAGATATCTTGTTCGCAACCGACACCCACACGGCTACAGTCATAGTCACATCCCATTTGAGCAACATATGGACGAGTTGATATAAAAAGATTAGCGGATAGAAGAGGAGTTTTCGACTCGCTCTTTTTATCTTCTTTCGTATCTTCGATCATATTAACAAAACAAAATATCTGAAACAAGTTAACAAAAACAAAGTTAAAAATCAGTGAATTATCTCCGAGTATTTTTGTTCTTATTCAAAATCATCAACAGACAATGTTTTAACACAATCTCTTCGACGATCAAATTTCTTTTTAACAATCGAAAGAAATTCATCGGTAGTCGGAATGGATGAATCTCCATTACTCATTATTGCTTGACATCTAGATCATTGAATAAAATATTATCTTCAATATTCGTTCAAGAAATATTCGCTTAGTTTTTCGCTGGTAGACTTGTTGTTACGTCTTCATCATCATCATCATCTTCTTCTTGTTCTTCTAGTTGATCATCTTCATCGACGTCATGATGCTTTCTCTTTGATTTAATTTTAAAAAGTTCTTGTTCATTATTACTAATTTTTTTTTCAATCATCATTTTGAAATTTTGTTTCGCAACTACTTGTCATTCAGGTCGAATCAAATCCGGTAATGATGTTCAACCTAATTTTGAAATCTATCAAAGAGATTTTATATCAAGAATAGAATTTCATATTTTATTGGAATAACTAATTTTTCTTTTTCAGCAATATCTTCTAAAACTTCACGTTGTCTCAATGATTTATATCGTTGAACATGAACCACAAATGGAATTTATATTGATTGTTGAAGACTTTGTTCAAGCCAATTATCCTGTTTAGTTGAAAGAATAGAAAATAAATCTTAAATAATATTTTTCTTTACCATTTGTTTGATATGTTTAACATTTAAACCCGATTTTTGTCGACGTTCTTCAATTAAATTAGCATTTTCTTGTACTTTTTTCAATCAACCTCGAATTACTTTAACAAACCTTTGTGTTTTACAAACTTTAATGAATTTTTTTACATTTAAGTGTTAATGGATAAACAAGTTCAGGATATGTAACATGATGGGCATAATGAACAATATAAAGTATAACAAGTTCATAAAATTGATCCATTAAACTATCCTAAAAGAAAAATAAATAAAAACTTCACTTTTCTAAGAAATTGATTATGAAATGGACAAAACAAAACGTGAAAAGCTCGATCATCCATTTGCAGTTTTGTTAATTTCAGTGATATATCAAAATTGATATATTGTGCTTTGAGATTGGCCTTTTTATGGCGTTTGCTGAAATCAGTTAGTTGTATCAAACATTTCAAGTGAAAATGGTAAAACTAGAATAAGTACAGACGTCAATGCAATCAATTTAATTAATAGACGAATACAATGAAGTCCTAATGGATAATAACGAGCTAATGGTATTAATCTATTCCACAAAAATATGTACTAAGTCATCGAAAAGTTTCTTCATCAAACTTAAAATCACTGTTATTCAGAAGCAATGATCTCGAATCAATGATGTATTTTTCTAAAGGATATCTCTTGTAAGTTTATATGCTAGCTTTAGATTCAAATAGATATCGACACAATGATTTATCTAACTAAGAGATTGTTTACAAGTACAGAAACTGATCCAAAGGATCCTGTATATATCTTTTAATGATGCAATAAACAGAATTTTAGCGACTAAATGATTTTCACTGTTGTAACAGGATATTTCAAACTTTAAGACATTCGATTTAAGCACCATGTTAAGAAAATTTTTCCTAAGGGCAGTACTACAACTGTTTCGATTTTTGTTAAAATATAATCAAAATTAAAAATAATTAATCGAAATCCTTTCTAGGTTGAGTACTCGATTCATTTTACCGTTAAGAGAACACAATTTATATCAAAAATAGATGATCGTTTCAATAGACAGATATCAACATCCAATGGAAATTTTCCAGGATATTTCTCGAATTATCTTAGAAGTGGATCTAAGAAAACATCAACGAAGAGAGAACAAAGAAATCAAGTACATTTTCCTCAAGAAAATCGATTTTAGATGTGAAAATGTCTTAAACTTTAATGATTAACTTGTTGGAGAACGCGAACAATGGCATAAATTTTGCAAGCAAAGTAATTTAGGATAAGGATTATACCTGATCGTTTCTATAATAAGTTCTGTTAGTGGATGAGCAAGTTGCTGAATTAATTATTCTTTATTATTATATAATATTCCAATAGCATTTGTCCATAAACCTAACACATGAATAAATTGCCAATTATAAACATTGAATATTTCCCTAAATATGATATTTTATCATGAAATTTAATTGAACAACAAATGTCTCTGTACCTGTTTCTTATTTTGAATTACTGTACGTAAATATACAGCGAGTTGTCGAAGAAAAACAAAACCATGTTGATATGTCACTGTTGGATCAAGTAAATAAAGTTCAACTAAAGATCTTTACATAAAATTAATTAATGAAAGTGTTGTCAGTGATGACATTTGCAATTTTTCAAATAATCCAAATAAATTTTCTATTCGAAAACAAAACATATTTGATTCATTTTATCAATGTGACAATGCATTTACTCGTAAAACGACACCAATCATTTCTTTTCTATGTTCACGTATCAAATGAAATAAACAAACAAATGAAATAACACGATTTCGTTCATTGGATGATGTTGACCAAATATGAATCAATTTCTAATTTAGAAACATTTTTAAAACAAGATATTTTTTCCTATTATCAATTACTTTAACCAGTGCTTGACGTGTATTTGGTAAAACAATAACAAATGGAATAAGAGAACAAGCGTGTTGAAGAAGAATATTCAATGTACTCGGAACATTTATCATTGATATGAGCTAAATTCATCAAAACAAAGTTCATATATGAAAACTATTCGAACATGAAACAAACTCGTGTCAAATTAATCAAATATTTTTTTCATTATTTGTTCAATATATTTCCAATTGGAACTTGTTTCTGGTTTTAATTTACTTGTTGTAGCAATTTTTATACGAAGAAATCGATAGATAGCTGGTAACAATTGTTTAAGACATAGACGAACAATCACATTAAATTCTAAGGAAAGAAAACATTTTTAGAAATTCTAAACAATGAGAAATCATACACTCACGATCATCAATTGCACCAGTTTTAATTGTTTCTTTTTCTTTTTTGTTGTTTGCTTGATCTGTATCAGCTGATACATCAGCACCACCATAAACTGATTGAACAGCTAAACCAAAAGCACGTGTTACATGTCGAATTGTATTTAATGTTGGTTGATTTTTCTATTTGTTATAGAAATAAAAATGAAAAAATTTGATGAAATTATTTTACTTGAAGTTAAGTGTCTCATTTTCAACCATTTCAGTTGTAACTTGTTCTTGGTCTTCTTTGCTCAATGATTCATCATGTGTACCTTCTTAAAACTCAATGTTCTATCGTATTTTTCTTAGAAGAAAACAAATAACATACTTTATCAGAGGAAGGTTCCATTTCAATAAGTTGTTCAGGTAATTGATGAATTTGTTGTTCTGGATCATCATCGGAAATCGGTTCATCATCTTCATTAACATTAAAATGTGGTAAACTCTCGTCTTCATTTCTCAAAAATTTATAAAATTCTGGATTAACTGTTGCTAAATCTTTTTTATGTTGTTTCAGTGCCGATATTTCATTTTTCTTTCGGTCTAAAATCATATAGAAAATATTTGAATTCTTTAATAAAAAGTTTTCTATTTAAGTTACTGTTTGTTCTTCTTTATATCTTTCTTTGTTGATTTAGTCGTTCGAGTTTTAATCTGAAAGAATATTTGATTATAATTTTAGATCAATAATGATCATCTATGTAGTTTTTTCTTTTTAAGTACAAATGAATATTGATATAAAAAAAAAGAAAAAAAGAAAAAGCTTTTCATTAATCTGATCTAAGTACACATGAACTATGCATAGAAAAAAGAGGTATCACTAATTAAGGAGAACAATGAACGAAAAATTGCTGAAATGGCTGAAGATTATATTTGAGCTATTGAAGCGACTAACCGGTCCGGTTTAACATAAGCTATATATATGATCTTATCATTTCATTTCATTGCACAATACAGTTATTGTTGACGATTGATATTGATTTGAATCATCAACAATTGTTTTACTGCAAACGTAAATAAGTTGACGAAGTGCACGATTATCAGCTAACAAAGGAACCTCCACAGGTGCTCCCCGTAGATTTCAATGAAATCTTGTCTATAGATACTAGGCAATGCCCTAGTTATAACCCATTAAGGATTTGGTTTCATGGCGTTTCCTTCAAGAGTTATGAATATTTGGATTTTGTCCCTATAGGGCATAATATACAGTTTTAACGAATCTGTAATTCAATCAAAATACGTTTCAAAAGCCAGAACCTTTTCTAATGTTGTTTATACTTGCTGTATTCATGGAAAGTTTTACTTTGTAGCTCTTTTCATTGTCGATTTTTCTAGAATTTCGGAATTGGCAAAAAATGTAGATACTCATGGAAAGTACTAGTACACAAAGAACGGTATCCTCCTTCTGCCATGCTGAGCTCATGACAGAACCATGGTTTTTTATTTTTGATCTTCTTTTTCTACTTTGGAAGGCCTTTGTTTCATTTTTTCCTCTTGTTTATCGAATAAATTTTTCTTCGAAACAAAAACAGTGCACCAAGTTTTTTAGTATATAAAGTTTCTGTATTTTACCAGCTATTTCTTTCTTTACCAACTTCATATATTAAAATACTTGGTTTATTTTTTTTCGTTTCGAAGAAAAGTTTGTTCAATAAACAAGAGGAAAAAATGAAACAGAGGCCTTCTAAAGTAAAAAAAATGGGTCAAAAATGAAAGATCATGGTTCTTTCGTGAGCTCTGCATGGCAGAAAATGGATAGCGTTCTTTGTGTGCTAGTACTTTTCATGAGCATTTGAATTTTTTTTTGACCAACTCCGAAAGTTTAAAAAACTACAATGAGAACAGCTAATAAGTAAAAATTTCCATAAATACAACAGATATAAACAATATTAGAAAAGATTCTGACATTTGCAACATATTTTGATTGAATTACAGATTCGTTAAAACTGTATATTATGCCCTATAGGGGCAAAATCCAAATATTCATAACTCTTGAAGGAAACGCCATGAACCCAAATCCTTTTAGAGTTATAACTAAGACATTGTCTAGTATCTATAGACAAGATTACATTGAAATCCGTGGAGGGCACCTCGGGAGGTTCCCTCGTAAGATAGTTGAATAACCATGTTGTTCTGGACATTCTAAACGAAATTCAATGCCTTGAAAAAGTCCTTGTGAACGAGGAATACATGAACGAAGAAAACCACCATAATAACCATATATTGGATTATCTAAAAATATTTCATAGATTTGTGATGGTACTATGATTTGATGTGTTATTGATGCAACCAGCCATTGAATACTAATTATCGGTAAACGACGAGCAGTTGCTTGAATAACTTTCAATGTTAATGAATAGATAAGTGGAGTAGTTTCGTCTAATGAATCCGTTTTTACATGAGTTGTTGTTTCATCAACTGCATTTGAATAACGAATATTAAGTTGAGAAATAAGTTGTTCAAAGATGATCTGTACATATATAACAATATAATTCAATAATTAATATGCAATGTCAAATAGAAAAATGAAATGACATGCACGAATAAAATTTCAGCTTATAAAACGAAGCGAATATCTCTATGTTGAAATTCATAGTGAACTAATTTTGAATGGGTTCATAGATCGATACAAGAATTTTCTAAAGTTTGTTTCAATTTTTTACACTCTCGGATGTCTTGCTTATTTTAAAAATATTCCTTTATCATCTCTTAATTTTGTCATACTGTCAACTGAATTACTAATTCGCCAAAAGTTTACCCAAGATGAAACTTAATAAGTGCAGACTTTCGTCTCAGAAATGAGTATCCAAATTTATTGTAAACTTAAGATTTCTCTATTAAAAACACGCGACAGGTTTTTTAATGTAACAAACTAGAAGTAGAGAGGTGTAAATTCAATCGTCATTCTCAACTGGATTCTTCTTTTTATACGTATTTCTTCCGTTTCATAATCAAATAGATATGAGATTTTTTGAAAAATTCCTGAATAATAACAGTTCTAGAGGCTCCTGTCTTGTGTACCTGTTGTTCTGCTTTCAGACTTGATTTAGCAAAAACTATAGTAGATGGAGATGATTCTTCAACTGTCATTGTTTGTTTCGATACTTTGATTGATTAATTAATCTAAGTAATCAATGAAACAAAATAAGATATTTGTTATTTTCTTTTCTTACTAACAGTTGGTAATTGAAAGTTTAATATTTTTATCAACAAGAAACTGACGTGTTTTAACTAATTGTTCAACACAAGCACATGCTGTTACATCTTGACATACAACAGGTTGTTCAGATGTAAGATTTGAATAATATTAAGTACAAATAGAATTTAATTCACTATTCATAGATTCTGTTTGTATTGATTGATTTATTATTTCAACAGACTGTGTTTGACATTGTTTTTCATGAAGAATAGGATAAGATATATCTGTTTTTGTATCAATTGATGTTGCTGTTGTTGTTGATGGCATTTAAGGACTTGGTGGATGAATTGGATAGAAAACATTCGCTAGAATTGGTGATGCTACTGGACGAGGAAGTGCAAATGTAACACGTGATGCTGTCTTAATTCTAACAGCTGAAAATAAATATAACAAAAACTAAATAGACTTTTTATTTAAGAATCGTATGAAATAATTTACGTGAACTATTCTGAGCTGGTGCAACGAAAACATCTTGTTTTCCATTGGTTGATCGAGTACGAATTGGTGATGGTAATGTTGGTAGAACTGCTTGATGTGAACGAAGGCTTTGAATTTTTTCACCAATTCTTGTATTACGTTCATTAATTTTTTGTAATTTTGTCGAGTTCCTAAAAATTAAAATTGTAAAAAGCAAAAGAAGAAGAAAAGGATTTGCCTGGTCCTTCAATACATAATTTTGATTGTTCAATAAGACGTGTTTCTTCATTTTCTTCATCAACAGTTGTACAGTCATCTGAGCTTCCAGCTGAAGTTTTACCTGATCTAAAATTCAATCATTAATTTAGAATGATATATGCAAATTTACCAATAGGTGCTTTTGTTATGCAAAGCAGTAGTACTTCGAAGTTTTTTCGATATAGGCTCTTCGAATTGTTCTTGTTTTGAAATAGATGTTTTTCGTTTATTTGGAGTTAGTTTTTTTCTTATTTTAATTTCTTCACCATTTTCTGTTTCATCATCATCGACTTCAGCAATAACAGTTCTTCTAGCTTTCGATCGTTGTTTAATATTTTTATTGTTTAGTTTTTTATCTTTTTGTTTATCTTTTTGTATTGATACTTTTTGTCAAATTAAGTAATTACATGTCTTCATATGTTTGATTTTTTTTCTTTAAAAATTTGTTGAAGAGTTAAATTAGCTGCAGATTCAGTCAATGATGTTGTTGATAAAACGCCAGGTGAACGACGAAGTGGTGTACTTGTTAACAGCATTGTATCAATTCATGAAGGACGTGTTAGACCTTTCCTGGTACTTGTTTAGTTTAGACACCGGACAGAACAGAAAAAAAATATATACGTTGGAAAAATGACCAACGAAAAGAACAGAACGAAAGAAAAAGGAAAAAAATATAGATGTCTTCTATAGATAACAGTGGCATGCATGCCACTGTCATCTATAGAAGACATCTATATTTTTTTTCTTTTTCTTTCGTTCTGTTCTTTTCGTTGGTCATTTTTCTAACGTATATATTTTCTTTCTGTTCTGTCCGGGGTCTAATCTAAACAAGTACCAAAAAAATAACTAAAAGGGATAAACGACTAGAAAATAAACAAGAAAATTTAATGGATAATTTAAATAACCAATGAGAAACGAGGAATAGAGTACACTACATACTATTCAGTAGAAATCTTCAAAGTTAATTTTTTTTCTCTGCCATCTCAAGAGTTGACATATTGCTATGCACCTGACTTCAAACGTTCTTTTCTTTTTCATTTTTTAAATGGATTCGACATCATGGTAATTTAAAAATGGAAAAAATTACAAACTAAACTTCGACCGGAAGACTTGGCTTATCTTCATCAACACACAAATTTTGCTGAAATTCGTATATAAAATTAATGAATAAAATAAAATTTGTTTTATTTTTACAAATATATAATTTTTAGTATTGAGATAAACAAAACAAACAAACATAAAATTCAATAGATTCAATAATAACACGAGGTGGATTCATTCGATGTGAAAGAGCCGCTGAAACAACTTGTTCTTGTGATGGTTGAGCACATAAAGGTAAATGATACGATGGACCATCGATATGTTCACCATCATATGTTACTGATATATGATAATTACCTCAATATAAAATTAGATTATTTATAAAAGTTTTTATTATTGAATTTTTCACGAGGTGTTGGACATTTATAAAATACTCGATAGATGCCTTATCAACAACTTCGATTTGAACATCAACTTTTGACGGACTATCAATAGCAATGACAAGTTTTTGTAATTCAGCATTAGGTGCATCCAAATCGAACTGATCTAAGATTTATTTTGTTATTATTTTTAAGGAATATATAAGAAACAGCATAATAATTTTTTCGATAATTGTATTTTCTCACCCAATACTATAATGTCAAATTAGAAAATATCATGTATATTTCGCCTAAATTCTCCGCTATTATTAGTAAAACAAAACAGCAAAAAAAATGATCGCTTTCAACATCAAGGTAGTTAAATTTTTTGCTCATCATTAACATCTGTAATACTCATATATTAGCTGTTGATTTTGGAGAAAGTAATATATCAACCGGTACACATATTGATATTGATTTAAAAAATAAAAATTTTACATTATTATTTTTGACTTGAATAACCAGATATGCTGAAATTAGAAAGAATAATATAATAACTCGTTTCTTATTTTTCACTTAAGTGTTTGTAGAAACTCATTGACGAGTATTTTTCATAGATGGACTCCTTTAACATTAATATCAAGAGATAAATAAGATATTTTTACTATGTTGATAACCGTTGATTTCGAAAAAAAATGTAAAAGTCAATATCATCTCTATTTTCAGTAAGTATTTATTATAATAAGACGATTTGTGAATGTTCTATTCTAAGAGAGTTTATAAAATGAATAGCAGAAATAAAGTAATTATCAACTTTTTTTTTGAGTAAAGCTCCCGACAAATTAGAAGACCTGCCCCACCCCTCCCCCTTGAATAAACAACGCAAAAGACAGATTAGAAGACTCCCTTCCGAATAGGTGATTTTGTAGCTCTTCTATCATGTTTATACTTTTTGTTTCTATAAATATGCATTTCTCAACTTTGCTTCAATTCTTTTTCTATTCTTTATGACATTTAAGACAGTCTGTACTTGAACAATATAAAAAGTACTTAATGGACGTATGTTTGCTGCATGTGAAAAACAATGTCCCTTATGGAGATGTGTTTTAAGCACCAAATTAGTTATACGTGAAAAGACTACCAAAAAATAAGACAATTGAGCGTCATATTAATTATGTGTGACATGGTACATAGAATAGTATCCTCAACAAAAAGAACAATATCTACATGATAGGGTGTGGATGTGAGCATTGGTGAATGTGTGGACTAGAGAATGGATGAGGGTGTGAGTTTTACTCAAGGGGGAAACATGATACTTTTGTACTTTAAAGTACGGTAAAGTACCTTAAAGTATCTTAAAGTACTTTAAAGTACGGTGAAGTACGGTAAAGTACGGTAAAGTATCTATTAGATGTAATATACATCGAACTGCCAGATATGACACTATAGTTTGTTCCATAAAGCTTACAAGGCTATATACTGTTATACTAGAGATTTCTTACCATTTTGACAGGATTGAAACTTTGAGTTAATTTTGTTAAATAGTACTTTCATCTAGGTCAGGAAAGTCAACGCTATCTTGTTAAGAAACTGAAGGCAGGTTATCTCATCTTTCCGGTAAGGAAAGGGTATTTCGAGAATATAATGATTTTTGATAAAGTTTGATCATAGGCTATCGGAGTCGAGGAATCAGAATCGGTAATCGGTTTCTCAAAATCCCTCAATCTAATTGCTCGATAACAAAAAAGTNCCTAAGTTCCGAGCATAAAAACTAAAGAACCATTTTTGCCACGTATGGCATGCACTCATATGTGTCTGAAGTTACATTTTTTCGTGCACATATATACAAAGTTTGAAAAGACTACACCTACGACTGCACCTGCCATGCATGTGCATGCAGGTAAAACTGTTGTGTTTACATGGAAATCATATTTCTTGCATAAATTTGCAAGAAACAGCTGACGAGCAAACGCAAGCACGAAATTCTGCATGTTTGTATGTGTTTTCTTAAAAAGTCTGTAAACTTGTGTTCGCATGCATGTATTTCTGTCATGCGTGTGTGTATAAGTGCCATTGCCTTGCGTTTACACACAAGATTCGAATATTTTAAAAGAAACACGCGTGCTCCAGCTCAAAAGTCGAGCGAACCAAAAATATCCTGCATGCACAGGCAAGATTCTTGAATTTTCTCGCGTAGCAACGCGTGTTTTCGAAATTTACGTTTGACTGGGAAGAAGGATTTGCAAATGTATCGTTATTAAAAAAGAGAATTGTAACAATCTGGAATACAATCACTCCGGCAATGTGTTCCAAATGGATCAACTCAATACCCAGACGACTACAAGCTTTGATTAAGAAAAACGGCTATTCAATCAACAAAAAAGACTATGGCAGCGTATAAAAAATATAATTTATTGTATTATTGATTGTTGTATTTATGATAAAAATTAATTATTCTAGATGTTTTTATCAATAAAAAGTTTACCGCGTCCTAGGAAAAAAGATCCTCACTATTATATGAGTGTATAAATCTTCTTTGTAAGTGAGAACTACTTAGAAGTGTGAAAATTTAGGATAATATTCACCTAGTTGCAAGCTATTATATACCCAAGTTTGAGAAGTTTTTGATTTGCAAAAAAGGGAGAAAATAAAATTTTTATATGAAGTACCAAGACTTTTGGATCACCCTTTAATAGTGAAAAAAAAGTCTTTTAAGTAATTTCTATAGTGATTCAGATGTAGGCATGACTAATAAAGGAGTTGATTTGACTCTTACAGGATAAGGAATGTTAAGAATGACTTAAGCTCGTCGACCGACCTGTCCTGTCCAGTCTGATTGGTTAAGACCAGTACTGGTAACGAAGAAACCTGCCGGTTGCAACACTAAGATTAATTTCTGACCTTGATAAGATTATGTTGAAAAATCTTTCAAGGAATTTTCTCTACTCTTTCTTCTACTCAAAGTCTCTTGACAAAGGACGGAAGATTCCGATGTTTTATTATCAAGAATTCTATCAGAAGTTTTCTGCACGCATTTAAGGGTGGAAATGATAGTGTTTAGATACCAGAAACATCTTTCCAAAAAATTGAGTTCGAATTTCTATGACTGTCTTCTATATTGGAGATATATTGGTTCTATTGATCGAAACTATGTTGGAAAATATCTTCTTTAATATCTCTTGACATAGCTTGCGATCGGACTACATCGTCTTCATATTGGCTGCGATAGAAACGGTTTTTGACCTCCCTAATCTTTTTCAGTTTGTCCAAAATATAAAGAGATTGTGCTGGTCTCTGCTTCTTTTTTCTGATGCAAGATAATTAAACGATTTTTAAGAGGGTAAAAAAACTTCATTGATTCTCTATAGCAAAGTAGTAACCTCATTACTCGTAACTGTTTTATTCAGAAAATTTGGAGGAGGCAAAGGACTATTTCGCATGCTTTCATCTTGGTTACTGCAAATTTAGTTGCAATTTCTAATGCGATGAACTTTGGTCTATAGATTAAACTCTATGGTTTCTCATGTGATACCACATAAAGTTGGCAAAAAGTAAGATTGATATTCATGGCGCCGAGTATATACGCTAGTTGATTGTTTACGCTCTAGTTTTTGATTATTGAACCATGTTTATCTATTTTTGGACTATTCCATTGTGTAATTGTAATGGTAAAATCTCCTATAATGATCGTACATTGGTAATGTCAGGCAACAATCCATTTATATCACACTTCTTGACACTCGGACCAATAAATGTCTATAACTCGAATTGGTTCACTGAGTCCGAACATTCCTTTTTTTCTATCATCAGATCTTCTATTGTAAAAGAACTTTTACGAAGAAAAATCATTTTTGATATTTTCGATATGATAAGCAAGTATACATTGATACTGTCGAGGTCCAGAAGAATATCTTAGAAACACAAGTTCTGACGCCCTCCTATTGATACTTGTAACACTTACAATTGCATCTTCCGGTTGCACAATCACGTTCTTCGTCAAATAGAAGATCGTAAGTGACAGGCTTGTCGCTTGTCTAGAAAAATAATGATTTTTTTCGCTTTCTTTCTGATGACATATGCAACAATTTCTTTTTTCTTAAACGAAGGCTCGTCATTGTTCCAGTGGAACCTTTCTTCTTCGACAGACACTCATGTAAAGCATATAATGTAAGCTTCGTACACCCAGGGGTATCAGTTTCTGCACATCATTTTATATTCAAGGTTTGTAAGTGCCCCTATTTGACATCGTGGCATGCATTCACGGTACAAATTGCTAGAAGAGCTTGTTTGTCGATAGGTATCTTTCGACTTACAAGGAAGTCATTAGTCGTTGCTTGAAAAAAACAGTTTTTCCAATCGACGTTAAAATTAATTCAGGCAATGGACTGAAGTTTTTGATGGCGCGTACGGATAAAGAAAGGACTCTCACTCATTGATACTGATGTCTTGTTTTTTTTTTTGTATTTATTATTTACGAAAAACAACTACCAAACAAAAGAACAAGAAAGAAAGAAAACCGAAAAGATTGAGTACTTTCATCTTCGGTCAATGTTTAATGAACCGGATTAAAGTTTTCAGTTGAATAAATTAGGACAGAGCACGACGAGTGACGTCTCATCGCTAAGAAAGTATGCCAAGCAACGATGAAAACTACTCACCATTTGCGAAGTCAAAATTCGCTCGAGAAACCTAATAGAAGCTGAAAGATTAAAGAGATGTAGATCGATGCAAAGTCAATCGAGTGACTTAACGATTCTTTGAGCGACACAACGTGTATTCGTTCGTGTGCAAGAAATGACGAAGGTAGTTATAAATCGATAGCAATCATTGGTACTCATTAGGAAGACAAAATGGAAACGTCAGCTAAGAAAATGAATGTGTCATTGCGAAAGTTGAACTGATAACAAAGAATACTGCTAACTTCGTATCTACGCTTGTTGAAAACATGGTAATCACATACAGCTGAGTCCTTCATTGTCGTCAACTGAATGATTGCATTAGTAGCTACAAATAAAAAAGAATTAATATAAAGTCGCAATGGAAAATGAGATTCAATAGAAAGAGAAAGATTTTAAAATATATCGCATGAAAGGCAAAGAAAGTATGTTCATAATTAAGTTTTTTCTTCTTTGAAACGTTACTCTTCACTCGAAAAATCCAAAACTCCTTTGTGTCTACTGCATAAACACGAATCGAGCTAAATTTGAAAGAGTAATAGTAAGACTCTAGGTTTTTTTTCGTTCATTATTCATTGGATGTCAATGTACTTCTGTACTGTTTTTTTCTTTCTCTTCTGAATGAAAACATTTTCGAAAAAATTGAGACGGTAAAATTTCATCGCAAAAAAAAACACGAGAAATAGAACACGTGAAGAGAAGCGGAGAAAAAAAGACATGTCGTATAGAGAAAAGAATTCGTTCTACTCTTGAACCTGTATTTATTTTCTAGGAGTGGCGATTTCCTATTAATTTATTTTAAGTTTTAATTTTTTTCGAATTTAAATTTATCATAAATGTAAATTTTAAAAAGTTAGATTTATTTTTAATTTAAACCCAGTGTAAATCAATATAAACTCAATTTAAACATATATATTTGATTTAAATTCAATATAAATTACTGTAAATAGATTTAAACTGAATTTTATTTGGTTTAAATTGAATTTGTATTGATTTAAACTGGATTTAAATAATTTTAAAAAATTTAAATTTAAAAATATATTTAACTTTTTAAAATTTACATTTATAATAAATTTATATTTCTTGAAATTTATTTTTGGATTTATTAAAGTTTCGTACATGTAAATTGATCACCCCTATTATTTTGATAATATTTGAATTTGATGGCATAGCCAAACACAGACAGCAAGTCAGTAACAATAGAGAGTTACTAAATTCGAGAACTGAAAACCAAAAATTAGCCTTCTTCGTCCAGAACTGTATCTGTATGTGATATTTACTGTTTCACCCATTGTCACGCATCATTTGTTTGTGAATATGTTTTATGAAAGCCATGTGTGAATAAGTTTTCGTCTTCACATTCTGTTGTATTTTACTGAAGAAATGCAATCAGGCTAGCAGATTCTCATGGACGATGAACACCCACATCCACAACAGCCTACATGTTTCTACTTCCAATGGTCTTCGCGTAGAGGTGAGACAACCATTTTGCGGTCAAGTCTTTTCTCTAAGTACTCCACACTACCTGTTCAATGACTTTCGTAAGAAAAAGGGTAAGTTGGTTTTCACGTTTGCTGTTTATTCTTTTCATCTCTGGGTTGAAGTGAATTTTTAGGCGAGGGTGGATAGATGAATAGAAGACCTTAATGTACACGCGCACACTATTCTAATTATCAGATAAATAAAATATAAAAAGGATATAAGAGGTAGGAATCGTTCTTTTTTTTTATTTCGTACAGGCAAAACGCGGAAAATAGAAGTAGGAATAATTCCAGAAAGCAGTAAAAGACAAAATAAGGAAACTAGTTCTATCAAAAATGAATCCATTATCCAAGAGCATTAGGATCAACATCTAATTTTTTAGCTCGTAATCGTGCTGCTTCAGTTCGTGATTTGATAACCGGAATGAACAGAATCCCTGTGATTCGAATAGCCGCTGGACAGGTAATGCGCCATTCGATAGCTTTTAAATTGTCGCTTGGATGTGCTTTGTATGTAGACACAGTACTCGGAAAAGCACCAAATGCGTCTTTCTTTACTCGACATTCCAGTACTGCTATCATGCGTTGGTCATCATGAGAAAATGTTACAGCATAGACCGGATCTGAACAATAATATATGCTTGGACTAACAAATATTGCGTTGGCGAAATCGACAATACCGAAAGCTTCTTGTCCTCGTGCAATATGATTTGCAGGTGGACAGACACGAAAACCGTTAGAGACAACTGTACTTGGCATTACGAGTCCGTCCATCAGTATAGATCGAATAACATTGATAGACGTACCATGATAGGCAGTGTGCGGGAAAAGTTGCGAATCATAATCGCATATGTTAAGGTATTGACAAGCCACAGGAGTTTGACATAATTGAAATTTCTGTCCAACAACAGCTTGAATGAACATGTCGGGTGGCAGACAAAGTGCATTCGAAAAAATCTCAACATGACGTATCAAAGCATGTAGACCACCAATGCGAGGTAAACGATTATGTTGATTACTATAGGAAAACCAGTACGAAGAGTTTGGCATCCACGTATACAGTTTCACATTTGTTTCATCATTGATTGTTACAGTTGGCATATCATTTAGTTTGTCATTTTTATCAGTATAATTTGTTTGGAATAGACAAACACATTGGGGTAATTGAAAATGTTCAGCATCTGGTTCAAAAGTATATTTTAAATCAATTGAAATATTTTTCTCAGCACAGCCAGATGAAAAAGTGAATAACAAATTTTTAATGTTATACGTTTGTGTCTCATTTGATTTAGCTTTAATTTGAAAAGATGCATCTTTACATTTTGACTTAAATTTGCCGTGAAAAGCGCGTAAGTTAGGACTGGGAAGTTCATCTCTCTTTGCATAGCCACTATTCATATAACGAGGAGAATTATAGGTAATAAGGCATATTGGTAAATCTATGAATCTTGAACTTACATAACGGGCACGACACACAGCTGATATTAATGTTGTAGTTTCATTGTCAAAATCTAAAGGACTTCGAGCAATAGAGAACCATCGATATTTATCATGATGTGGTTTTGGTATCGCCTTTATCAAATCATTAATCGTTGCATCACAGTGTAATTGCACTTCTGCAATTGGTTCATTCCCGGAACCCTTACCATCCCCAAACAAACGCACAGGAATGTATTTGTCAACAGCTAAATTATTTCGATATTCTTGTAAGAGTTTTTTTATTTCGTCATCTGTGGCTTCATCTAGAGCAGTAGCATCAAATTGATTTCTGATACTGACATCTGCACCTCGAGACAGCAATAACTGAACTGTAGACAAATGTCCGTTATATGCAGCACCATGCAAGGGCGTACTACGTTTGACAGGTATTTGTACATTTATATTTGCACCTTTGTCTAAAAGCCATTTTGCAACAGCTGTTTGACCGAAACGGCATGCAATATAGAGTAAACTTGTACCCTGGTTATCAACAGCATTAGACGATTTGTCATCAAAGTGATAGTGAAACCACCAATCCACACCATCCTTTGCCATATCGAACATATTCTTTTCACGCATTAATCTAAATAAGTCGGTAATTCGAGTACCATTAACTAGTCCTTCTTGTTCAGCTGTCATACCCCATTTATTAATTAGAGTTGAGTTGGCACCTTGATTGAGAAGATATTCGACAATCGATTCATGCCCACCATAGGCAGCAAGATGTAGAGCCGAATTCAAATTGATATCAACAATGTCGAATTCAGCTGAATGTTCTTCGATGAACCATCTAGCAAGATCGAAATAACCTTTTTTGCATGCACAATGAAGTAATGTCTGTTGTTGAGCATGATATTGTGTATCAATATGTTCTTGAATGTTCTTGATATTGTTTTTGAACCAGTCAAGTTGATTAGTAGCTGCTTGAACAAAAGGTGCCTGTTTCAATTCAGCAAAAGTGTTTCGAACCTCATTATTATATGATTCTTGTTCGGCCACATTTCCATGAGTATTTTTTAACTCATAATTGGCTCCACATTCTAATAGACAACGAACCATTTCTGGATGTCCATAGAATGCTGCAACATGTAAAGATGTGCTTCCTGTTCGCTGTGGTCGATCAGGATCGGCGCCTTGCTCAATCAAATAGTGTACGGCTTCAACATTGCAAGCACGTGCTGCACAATACAACGGCGTATGACCTGTTAATGAATCTTGTGCATTAATTTGTCTTAATGTCGCATTTTTCAATCGTCGCCTCAATTCTAATGAAAGATCAGGTTCCGCTGCTAACTGTTGAAGTGTATATTTGGATACTGCTAAATCAGAAATCCACTCTTGTCGCTCATCATATCGTTTTCGTTTGTCATGATCGGATAATGTTTCATAAGCACGGCAAATTTTTCGAAATTTTTCGGTCGAAATCGTACGTTTTTCAGACGGTTTCTGTCGATCTGCTTTGAACTGATGAATTAGTTCACGATATAACTTACGCAGTTGAAAGTCGCCACTTGTTTTATCTGCTCCAAGAATGCTATATGGTGTAGCAGCTGATGAAGCCATATTTTGTTGTCCTTTTACTATTCTATGAATTGCTGCTGTGTGTTAACGAATGAAGTAAGAGGCACGTTTATACTGTTTTTGTTTTACTCGTTCTGGCATTGACGGTTTATTGCTCCAAGAAAAGCCTCTTCTTTTCACCTATACATAATACAACGACATCTCCAAATTGAAGAACGAAAATCTACGTTGGTCTTACATTTTATTTTAAAATTCAAACAATAATATTTGTGAGCTCGTTTTTTCATCATTCTTTTTCAAGTAACGACTACTGGCTTAACATGCATCATATCCAGTAAACTGATCCTCATTTAGCTCGTTTAGCACTCTAAGTTTTTTTCAGGTCAATTTAATTAATTGAGTTTAATCCCATGAAATACTGGGAATTATTAGTGCTTTTTTCTCACCTAGTGATTTCGTACCGATGCATGACAGAACCGCAAGTAATTACCATTTACAAAACAATCATCTCTTGACTAATAATATATTTCTGACACGTCCATTCATAACCAAAGTTATTATGCTATAATTTGATGATTTCTAATGTTCACTACGATTGATCATTTGGTTATCATTTCTTCTTTATTATTTCTGCTGATTGAAAGGCTTTGTGTGGGTGTGAATCTGAGTGTGTTGATCTGGATGTAGAATGTGGATATCGATGTCGGTGATGCTCTCAGTTCGTCCGCATCCACACCCCTTTTCATATATATGCAAGACAATAGTATTTCAAGAGAATGAGAGCTTTATTTAATTTTCAGCTTGATTTTTTACCCTTTTTTTCTCTGCATGACTCCTCAGTTGTTTTTGCTGATTTTTTCGATGTGCTGTATGGAACGGAAACGTCAAGAACGATTTTTGATGATTGTTGCAAAAGTGGATTTTAGCATCCATGTTTTAATGTTCTGCCCATTGGACAAAAAAATGAGATAAAATGAAATAATCTGGTAAAATCCAGAGTTAAATATTTTTATAACGCAGCCTGTGATAGTTTTCTGCAGTAAACGACACACATACCAAAAATTTAACCCATGACTCGTATATGGTCGTGTATTACTCGTTCATACTCGTTTACGACACCGTAAACATCAGTTTCTGATCGTTGTAATGCTCGATCTGTGCTGAGCTTTATATGATTCAAAGAAAAAACTTCTTTTTCAAAAAGCAATGCGTTCTAAGATGAAGACACCTATAAATTTCAGCATAAAAAGTGCACATTTTGATACGTAAAAACGCGTTAAAATGAGCTGTTGTCCGCCGGGATTATTCTATATAAAGATGGTAATGTGACCAACCCGGTCCATCAATATTTTTTATTACTCTTCGTTTTGAAAAATAAAATGAAGCATATCCATTATTTTTTCGCTAACTGAGATTTTTTCTAAAATAATGTAGACTTCGTTTTAATAATTAGTCTGTGACAAGCATTTTCTTATATGAAAAGAACACAGAAAAAAATTATATTTATTAAGGAAGTCCCTAAGTCGCCTCTTATGGACTTGGTAAACGATCGTTCGTGGTCGTATATGACGGCATAAATGACCGTATGCATACCCTATACGCTCCGTCATACGTGCCACACCTGAAAGTTGAATTCAATAATTGAATTATTAAGAATGATAGAAGATATGTAATAATAATAACCCACGCTGGCAGAGCTTTCAACTTGTTTCGATATGAACATTGTAACATAATTTAACATGTTGTTTTCCTTTACTCTTGCTTTCATTTTCTGTATGGTCGTATCCTAGGATGGCATCAATGTTGTGATTTTTTTCTCTTCTTTCTCCATTTCTCTATATTTTAAGTTTATGTTAAGTAAAACTACTTGTGACTGAATATCAAGTCAATCCAAGTAAATAAAGTAATGATGAATACCCAGACTGAATGATACGGTCCGTATACGACCGTATGCACTGAAACTGCGGCATTGCATACGATGCTCTATTACTATATCCAAAATTACACGAAAATACGGGCCATTCGAGTACCGTATAATTCAAAGTTACGGTGCAAATTCGGGCAACTGTATCCGTCGACCTATATATTCATGTACATTGACATGTATTATTCATTCTTAAAACACTATTTTCCTAATACTTCGCTCATTATTTATCATTCTTACATGATGTTATCATCAAATACAACTCCATAATATATTTAAAATTTCCAAAAAAAAAAAATACTCAATTGAACTACTCCATTAAAATTACATTTGAACGGCATAAAAGAATAGATCAAACAGGTTCAAAAAAGAAAGAAAAAAAGAGAAAAACATTGATAATATACCTATGAAAATCACCAACGACTCATGCAATGACATCACACTTTATTTATCTGCATTATCAGAAGAATTACCTTTTATATGTCAAATGAATTTAAGCTTAAGTGATGCTCAAAGATTCAAATACAAAGCTCATAAACCTATGATGTTACAGAGCAATGAACAACCCGATATAGATCTACCTGACAGAGATGAGCACAGGACAAGATTTTTCTCTCCTGTCTTGTCCTGTCCTGCTAGCTATCTCAGTCCTGGCGGACGGCAGGACAAGACGTCACGATTTCTGCCGTTTTTCTACCAATTGAATCCGTTTTCACAAGTTGTAAAATGCCAAGAGTGAGTTTTACTTTTACTTTCATTGTACAAAGCAAATATCACCAATTAATATTTTCTAACTAATGCATTTTATATAGTTTTCAAGAAAAAAAATATATGGAAGATGAGCACAGGACAAGGCTTTTTTTTACCTGTCCTGTCCTGTCCTGTCCTACAGGATAGGACAGGACAGGGCACCAGGACAACAGGACCGTCCTGTTCTCTGCTCATCTCTGCTACCTGAACAATTCAGAACATTTTATTTTATCTTCCATGCTGATAAAGATAATAGAGATTTGATGATGATACATATTTGAAATGATTAATACAAATATGACATAGATACAACATATCTTATCTTCCTCATTAATTATTTGTTTGTATTTGATCTATTCTAATTTCGACAGAATCTTTCTAATCAAACAATTCAACTGCTTTAATTGTCAAAACATAAGTTTTCCATGAACATTAAAAAACACATCCATCATCTAATGATAAAGAACATTTATTATCTAGAAGAGAAAGGACAACATAATACTGCTAAAAGGAAAATGAAATAAATGACATATGCAGAAGATAAATATATTGGGTATCAATTGTTTTTATTTTAGTCCACAGTGTTGATCAAAAGTCTTTCGCCCCCTAAACCACAGTTATTTTAAGAGCTAGATAGCTTAAACTTTGTATGCGTAAACTCTATGACACACGCTGATCACATAAGCGCCACCCCAGTTAAAATTGTGTGGGTGAGTGATAATTGGTTTCTTCATCCTCATCCATACCCATGTCCTCGATTTTTACCCATTCTGTGAATAATTAAACAATCAATGAACATAATTCTTCAGAAAGCTGTTCATACACGTTTATAAAGTTCTCTTAGTGATGAATTTAGTCATGAGCGCTTTTCATTTTCCTTTTTACTTGGGTCAACTGATCGATTGAAGCAAAAATTTTCCAATTTACGTTAACAAAAAAAGTCTAATGAGAGTAAAACATCAGTATTTTTTATGGCAAAAGAGTTTTATGGTTAATCCTAAAAATGATTATTCGATGTTTTTGAGCTTTCGGTTATTTCGGACAATCCAGATTCATGCTTCGCAGCTTATTTTTCTTTCTCGATTTTGTCCAGATGTTGTCCATTACTTATGAGTTCATATGTTTGCTCATAGGTAGAACTCACACTCTAGATAAAAATCCTCCAAAGGTTCGTGCCATTAGGTCTTTTTTCTCGAATTATGATCATTTTACGGAATTTTCAGTCTATCTCTGGGTACTATGAAAACAACCTCAACAAGATGTTTTTTGTCTGAAAATTTTCCCAATAATAAAACTTATGATGCTTATTATATTCTGATATTTTTATCTTAAACGAGTGGTTCTCTTCCGAGATAATACATTTGGAAAAAACCGCCACTTTCTCACAAAAGCTCGGAAAATAATTCATTTTTGAGATATCCAATAGCTTAAGAAAAACTCATTCGTTCGAGCTGAAAATCTCAGGATATAATAAGTACCATGAGTTCTATTATGAGAGAAATTTTCAAATAGAAACTTCTTGTTAAGAGTGTTTTCATAATACCCAGGGGTAGGCTGAAAATTCCGTAAAATGATCGTAACTCGAGAAGAAAGACCTAATGGCACGAAATCTTGCAGGATTTTTATCTAGAGTGTGAGTTCTACCTATGAGCAAACATAGGAACTCAAACGGAAGTTATCAGTTGGATAGGTACCCTGGTTAGTTAATTTTCTTTTTGATTGTCACTTTATTGAATAGAAGATTAAGACTCAATAAATAGGATTTTAATGATTAAATCAAATAACTTATTTCAATATTAAATTCGTTTTCTTTGTTTTCCTTTAACAAAAATAAAATAATTTGCATATGTGCAACATCGATACTTAGCAAAAATTTCCTTCTATGTAAAAGAAACTATATTTTAAATTGAAAACTATTGAAAAATCTTATTAATTCATTTGAATTGTGTCTTAAAATTGTTTTTATATTGGTGGTTTTCTTAAATGAAAAAATCTTAAATGCAAAACAACGTGTTGGTTGCCGTCATAAATAAATCTAATATTCGTTTAATCATAAAAAGAATCGATTTAGTATTGTTTTTCTAGGTTGATACACAGAAATTGATTCTACAAAAAATAATCGAAGAATTTCATCTGATTAAACTCGTGTTTGCCAATTTGATATCTTTTGGTTTAATTTAAAGAAAGAAAGATTACTTAGATATATGATTAGTTAAACGATAAACTTGCTTTGATAATAAGGCGGAAGGTAAAATTAGATTTATTAATATAAATCGATTAAGTTGATCTTAGTGAGATACAGGATGATCATCTTTCGAATATCTAAGGGGAAATTTAATGTAACTTTAGAATTAATTTAACATGAATTGACAAATTTTCATTCAAATCAATTCTAGAAAAACTAATCCCAAACATATTTCGTTCATGTTTTTGTCCATATATTTATCTTGTTTTTTTTTCTTAATCTGAATGAGAAAATTGAAGTATCAATGAGCAAGTATTGTACTGCTTTCATTTTCATTGTTCAAATTACTTTTTATTTTATTGAAATGTTCAATATAATCGACTTTATTAGATTTTCTCTTTATTTAAAAGGATTAAAACATTTTTGGTTAGTTTCATTGATTAAAAGACAATTAAATTTATTTTCGCTACTATGCTAACAATTTTCAATAGAAAATACTTTTTATCTATGCTCATTGAATAATTGTTCACAAGAATTTGGAATTTGTTTTGACAAAATTGAACATATATATATATCGTTTATACTTCAAGAAATAATGTCCAAATTCGATTATATTCATGTGAGCTGCTTTTTCTTATTCTCATTTTCTATTGGTGTTTCTCATATATAAAAGAATTTAATGTGCTGCATCGGTACAAAACCGAGATATAAAATAGTCGAATAAACATAATACCAAGCTGGAGTGTTGAGGAACGGACCAATCTTCAATCACCCACACTCACACAGGCACACCGTCATATATCCACTCTATCCTTATAAAAAACCTTTGGAACCACTATCGATCTAACTTATCGAGTAGAAGTAATTAACTAAACCAACAGCTGGAGCTGTAAGCAAAAAACGTTTTCAAGCACCTTCCCTAAGGTTACAGCTTCATGTTAAGCGATTTACATCATTCAAAATATAAGCTAATTAAAAAGGACCTTAGTTATGTTCTTTTCGCCATATCTCTTATTCACGAGGTCTTTTTGAGATTCAACAGCTAGTTTTATAAGAAAAGGTCTTTAAAAGTACTTTTTCGACAAAAATCGTATTTACAACTTATTTCTAAGACACATACAGCTAGCTTAATTAGGGATGCACCAGTCCCAGTTCTGACTGGTGAACTGGGTCCCAGTCGGACTGGGACCCAGTCACGACTGGGTACTGAGTCCTTTGATCTTTAGTCCATTAGTCGAGTAGTACTTTCTTTTCTAGTATATTGTCATACAGTGATTTTTAGGCTGTTGAAGTAGTGATATAAGTTGTGATACTGAATCCATTGGCTAATCATATATTTCTATATGTCAATCGTTATAATTTATAATACTATAAATGAGTTTCATGTCTTCAGGGTGTGGGTATGGCTAGGGTGTAGATGTGGGTGGGTGGGTGTGGGTGTTGTTTGGATGGATATGGGTGTGGATGTTGTTTGGATGCGGGAATGGTTAGAATGACAATAACGACACCCATACCAACATCAAACCAACCCCCACACCCACACCCTTAGAAAAGAGGGAAGTACTGATCGATTAGTGAAATAAACGTCAAATGACTAAGTACCCAGTCGGGCTGGGCACCCAGTCCTACTGGGATCCAGTTACTGGCACTGGTGCACACCTAAGCTTAATAGAAGAAGATGTTTAAAGATCTTTTTTGGCTGTTATCTGATTTGCAAGCTATAGCTTTGAGACTGTTATAGCTAGTTTATTTAAGAGAGATCCTCAATGAATGTTCGACTGATATCTTATTTAGGACGTAGTTTTGAGACTTCGGCATGATTCTGGTATGGTTTCGCACGGATAAAACTCTATTTTGGTATATTTCCATTTGAATTCGATGTAGCTCCTTAATTTTTCCAATGGCGGAAAACGAATGAAAGTTGCTGATTTCTGTACGGTAATTTGTCGACCGGAACACTACTTCCATGTTGCGTGTATTTTTCCAGTTGAAACGAAGCGAGAACACGGACAGAATCGATTAAAAAAAAAAGCAGTTTCTAGCGAATTCCTGCCGTTATTCGAATGTTGGAATCATCTACTTGGATAAATCATGAGTACACATTTAGTCGCGAAATGAGCACAAAGATTAAAACGCAAACATTTTTAGAACTCATTGCCTATATAATTCTCTGAAAATTCGGAACAATAAAGCAAAACATGCAGCGTCTTGAGTATGGTTTATTGTACTATGAGAGAGAAGAAGAAAAAAGCTCTTGGATAAATATAGTTTACTCAGATGTAGTAATTCTTTCATTTTGCATAATATATTTTATATTTTCTCTCATAGTTGCATCGTGATGACTGGCGATACCTATCGAGTGTATTATTTAATCTGTTTATTTTTTTGAAGTCTGTTGCCTAACACTCCGCAGTTTTCAATGATGGTTAATGTCTTGTGTTTAGATAATATTGTAATTCAAGTCTTCTGGTGTTTGTTGTTTCTATTCAATGATTGACAGAAGTAATGCTTCGCTCCCCAAATAGTGTTCGAGGTCAACATCAACCAACATCAAGTATTTACAACTACAAAACACTCAATGAAATGGAAATGAGGAAGATAAGTCCGAGAACTTCACTTCAACCATCAATAATAGATAGTCAGGAATCGATTAAATATAATGAAATATTGGAAACATCACCTACAGATCAATCTTCACATCTTCCTTTATCTCGAATGTTGAGTAATATTTCTTTATACGGAATGATCATAGAAGGAAAATGGAAATTTCGGACATATGACGATGATCATTTGCGATTCAAATCTATGGGTATTGAAAATTTAGTTTATATTTGTCATGATATTATGGATAAAACACTTGAAATAATGAAATTAAAACAACGAAACCAACGAACATCTTTATCAAGTTGTGAATCGTGGCCAATAGTAAATCTTGATACTTTCAAGATATTGACAGATGTTGATCGTGCTTCTCTTAATCGTACTCATATACTTGCTCTAATGACAATTATATTTGAAGCAACATCAACAAGGGCATTAATGTCTGAATCTGTTTGTATTTGGGGTGAAGCTACTGAACATGTCAATTATCAACATAGTTTTTCTAAATCTCATAATAATCCTAAAATATCTTATGAAACTGCTTTTCGACACTTAATTCATACACCTGACAATCAACTTCTTCAAATAGCTCTTCATGTATCTCTTATAACCGGTCATAGTCGAATGGACTTACAGCAATTAGGTGGCAAATTAGGTGTCCATCGGTCTCATTTTGATATGGGTTCAATCAAAGACTCAACAAAAGCTTTTCAAGATTTGATAAAATTATTACGAGAACAAAAACTAAAACGAGAACGTGAACAACAATGTGTTAATATTAATAAATTACCATATAAACCAAAAAAGAAACGAGGTCTTAATGCAAATGTTTCAGGCACAAAGTTTGCTGTTGGTATGTTGTTTTTTTTTCACATTTCAAGCATTTGTTTTGTTTACTGAAAAAACATTAAAAGAAACCTTGACAGAAACAACATCCCTCTTGAATAGACTAAGTCAAACAACAAGATAGAATCTATTTCAAAATCATTGATTTTCATAATGATCACTATCATAATAACTCTAAAAATAACTCTGATCATGAAAAACATCAATTTATTTATACAAATGATTTTCTCTTCATGTTGAAAGATAGTATTCACTTATTAATTGTTGGCCACTTGTTTGATTTCGAAGTATTGTTGGAACAAAATATTCAAAATATTGGACCAATTTATAACTAAGATCCGATATCATTATATTATTTTGTAAGATTCATCAAGCGCGAATAGTCAAGCAAATTGGAAGCATAATTATTTCTAATTAAAGAGAGTTGATAGGAACTGTCACTTGTCATAAATTTCGAAATTTCTACGAATTGTTTTTTTACAGTCTTGTAGAAAATTCTGGCAGACAGAGAATTTTAGATCCGTTTCTGACATATATATTCATATGAAGACACTTTCTCTCAAATAATATGTTGCATAAAGTCAATGATATGAGCTTCTTCAGTTCGATCTGTGCCAGAAAGTCGAATGAAGACATGCTCTACCGAAATATTAGCCTCTTCCATCCTCGAAAACAATTGGGAGCCCTGATCAGATGTAATATTGCTGTAATCGCGAAAAACAAATTGTGATCTCTAAACTGCAATTTTTTATTTATTTATGAAGCCTGTAGAACGTGTAGGAACTAGAAAAGAAAGTAAGTATCTTTCATTTATTTAATGATGATTGTATCTTGAGAAGTTGAACCACCAAGTACACGTTTTTAGTACATTTATGAACCCATTAAAGTCATAAATATGAGAAGCAAGTTATTGAAATACAAAATAGTAATTAACTTGAATTTTATTATATAATAATTGAGAGAATAGATGAAAAACTGATCTTAAAAAGAACAATATATTGAAACAAATACTAATAGCTTATGTAATTAATTATTTAATGATGATTATCAAACATTACAATAATCAATCAGGATTCTTATCTATTTGTAAAAAACTGATTTTCAATAATATAAAAATGCCGTCATTTTACATCAATGTTGTTTTTTTATTTTACTTTAGTTCGTCAAGCTGCTGATGTATTCGGTTTTTCTATTAGTTCTGATAATGATGTTACTTGTAATTTATTGTGGCATGATACATTGATATCGATGGATATTGTATCAGCACTGAAACCTTACCAAAAAGTAAATCACTTTCCAACAATGAGTGAAATTTCACGTAAAGACTTATTAGCTAGAAATTTTGATAAGTATATATCATTAATTTTTTGTTTTTGTTCAATTTCAAATTTATATCTATTACAGATTGTCACGTATTCTACCGGATGAATATAATTTTACGCCTAGAACATGGATATTACCAAATGAATACAATACATGGTATTCATATGCTTCAAGTAAATCGAAAAAAGATCAATGTACTTATATTCTTAAACCGAATAATGGTGCGATGGGACATGGGTAATTTTGTATTTGTATCTTAAACTTTATTTTTAATTGATATATTTATTTGATAGAATTCAAGTTTTTTGTGATTATGAACGAATTCAACCAATGGATAATTATGTTATCCAAGAATATATTCGAGAACCTTACCTTATCGATGGCTTTAAATTCGGTAAAATATATTATTTTATTAGTATTTATAATATTTTATTCTTTTCTTTTAATGATTAAGATCTTCGAATTTATGCATTACTAACATCGTGCGATCCACTTCGTGTATTTATTTTTAATAATGGTCTTGTTCGTATGAGTACAGAAAAATATGAAACACCTAATCGCAAAAATGCTGTATATTGTTTTATATTGAAAACAAACACATTTTATTTTTTCAAATTTTCTAGTCTCATCTTTTTATGCATTTAACAAATTATTCAGTGAATAAATATAATGTTGACTATGAAATTAGTATATCAAATACTGATGCAGAGAACACAGGAAGTAAGCGGTCACTTAAGTTCTTATTTGAGTATTTACGAATACACAATCAAGATGCAACTACACTTTGGAAAGACATACAAGTAAAGTTAAACATTTCAAGAAAAAAAAACATTGAAAAATCGAAATATTTTTTTCTTCTTAAAAGAACATTATAATAAAAACAGTATTTCTTGCTCAACCACATTTATTTGCTGCTTATCGAATGTGTCGTCCCGGTGCTTCACCGTCAAGTGAAAGTGTTTGTTTTGAATTGCTTGGTTTCGATATATTAGTTGATCGAAATTTAAAACCATGGGTACTTGAAGTATGTATCAAACAATTTCTTTTATTAGCAGTTAATGAATTAACGAAAATAGGTAAATCGTTGTCCAAGTTTTGGCACTAATGAACAAATTGATTTTGATATAAAAATGAAATTATTACTTGATACACTTGAATTACTTCGTTTTCGAACATCAGACAGAAAAAAAAGTCTTGCTATTGAAAAAGCTGAAGCACAACGCCGTTTATATTCAAATATGGGTAAAACTAGTCGTTTATTAGATGATACATCACTTATTCTTTCAAATGGAACTTATCGAGATTTTCGAACGCGACAAAAACGACTTACTGATGTGGTATGTTCAAAATATTCTTCTAATCTTTAAATAAAATTTTTTGTTTTCAATAGAAAGAAAAATTATATCTTCTTCAACGTGAAACAGCTCGTGAAACATTTGAAAATCGTCATTTAGGAAGTTTTATACGTTTATTTCCTGTTGAAGATAGTATTCGAATGAATGAATTAATGACCATATTAACAAAATGTTTTGATGTATTATATGCAAATAAAAAAGATTTATCATGGAGTACAAAATATTATAATCGATATAAAGAAGAAGAATTACTAGAACAATTAGCTGAACTTGAAGATCTTGATCAAACTGATCAAAAACGAAATCCTCGTTTAGCTTTTGTGAGTTTAGTTTTCTTTTTGAATAGAAAAGAAAATCTTTTGTACGTAATGAAATTGAAAGTTCAAAGCGAAAAGATTTTTAAAATATCAATTTTAAACGTGGTGTTTTCAGAGTGCTCCAAGTAGCAAAAGTTCTTTTTCATCATGGTCAAGTGTAAGCATTGCCGAAGTAAGTTTTAATCAATCGTTGCACTATTTGTTGTTCCAATTCATTATTTTATCACTTTTGTGCTTATAAATTTTATATCAATACCCAGCATTATTTCACTGTATTATTGATTTTCCCATTGAGCTGTGCTGTTTGTATCATATATATTTCAATTTTCTGCACAAAATTTTACTTATTACTTTTTTCTACATCATATATTTGTTTTTAATATAGGTGTCAAATAATAGTCTTCCAATAGAACGTGCTTCTCCATCAGCTAGTTTTGCATCTGAATTAAGTGATGATGATGATCAGCATCAATCGAACTCACCTTTACCATCTGATTTAGTTAATAAAACAACATCATCAACAAATACACTAACAACAACTAGTTCTTTATTGAAAAGATATACAACACAATCACGAACAACTGTACTTCATCCAACACCATTATCACCGTTAATTATTCGAAAAAAACGACAAACATCAGTTGCTGCTTCAAATAGTCCTCAAAGACTAGGCTTAAAAACACAAGGATGTTCGAGAGAAATGAAATCAAATCGAATAACTGAAAAGAAAATTTATTCAACATCATCAAGTCAAAATACAGATCGTCCAAGTCAACTATCTCGATTAGCATCTAGAGGAATAAATAGTCAATCTCAAATGGTTACATATACAACAATTGCACAAACACCTAGAAAACTACCACATAGTATTACACCATCTGTTGGTCGATCAACATCATTCAATACTCCTAAAGTTAGAATAAATTTTTATAATAAAGTAAACAAAAAAAAAATTGTGTTTTTTTTTTTGTAGGAATTACAAATGAGTGATGAAGAATTAAATCGTCTTTATCAATTAACACTTGAACAAATGCATCAATTATGTATTCGTTATCCAAATAAATCTGATGATGAAACACGACGAATTTGTAATGAAATTACTGAAAATTGGAATAAATATCGATCATCAATAGGAGAATTTTGGTTATCTAAATTAGATACTCGAAAAAGAGAAGCAATTATAAGAATTGTTTGGAATAATGTTCAACAAATAATGAAACAATTATGGAAAATAGATCAATATGTTGAACAATTATCATTAAGTAAACATTTAGCTAAATTAGAACAACGTTTATTAGCAAATAATGGGCAATATTTGTGGGATATATGTCAAAATAGATATAAGTATATAAAAACAAAAAACATAATTTTTATTTTTATTTTTATTTTTATTTTTCAAAGTTCATGGGGATCATCATTGATAACAAGTACAAATCGTGTATCTCCGATTGAATTAGCTTGTTGTAATCGTTTTATTGAATTATGTAAACAAGCTTTATTCATTGTCTATCGTTATTCCATTGATGAAAAAACAAAAAAACAACAACAACATCAAACAGAAGGATCAACAATAATGGTTATTTCATAAAATATGTGAAGATATTTTTCTAGTTATAGTCAGTTCTATTTTTCCGGTGGTCGGTGTTTTTCTTTACAATTTTTTTAATTAAAATAATGCATGTCAATCATTTTCTTTAATTTCAAAAATGTTAACAAAGAAGTTTTTCATCTGATAGATTTTAACGAAAGTTTTTCAAATCCATGAAACAATGATAAACCAAATTTTATTGAGCTTTAATAAACATATATACAAGCCAAATAAACAAAGATGATTTAAACCAAGACAATTAATACTCTTTTGCAATAAAACAGTTTCTAAATGTTGCTCATTAAAAACATAATCTGTTGTAAGTCTACAACTTAGAGCTGGACAACTCAAAACGATTCAATTAATGAAATCCTGAAAAAATATCGTCAATTCAATTTCATTCACATAAAAAATTAAATGCATTACTCATTATACAAATTAATAGAATTATACACCGATACATAAGAACATAGATAGATGTGCATATCATGTAAGCACTCAAAGCGATTAGGGATAACATTGTGTGAATATAAAAAGCAAATATAGAATTGCAAGTATGATTCAGATACTTAGAAGTAAGGAACCTAATGAAATATTTCAACAAAGAAGATCATGACCTTTTGTATTTCATAGATTTTTGTTTCATAAATTTGTTTTTTTTTCTTGCTAAAAGTAAAAGGAATTTGATTTTTAAATCGCATTGCACTAAATGCACAGATCTTTGAAAACTTCTTTCAATTCCATTTTAGTCACCAATTGAATTGAGTTGACCAGTTCTGCTACGACTGAACTATGCATACTAAACGAATTATCTATGCTATCAATTTCTTGAATAATATGACGCTTAAAAATCAACAAAATTGTCTCAATCCTAATCACCGAACAAAGTCTCGTTTTTTAACAAGACTGAATCTTACAATGTTTTTTCATATTTGTTCTTCTGTTCTAATAGATGTAGATAAAAGAATACTCATACTATTGTTGTTTTACCATTCATGTAAGTTTTACATGTATTCAAAGAATTACAAAGACTAGAAGAAAAAAGGTTGTTATCACAGCTCCTTTGGGGTTGCAATGTGGAACTCACATAATTTTCATAAGCTAGACTACTCGACAAAATTTTAAACTAGCTGCTAAGGTCTTTAATGGGAAGAGAGAGGCAGTGTTACGTCTTGTATACAGTGCTGTGTAATGACACAACTATAAAAGATGTTAGGTGCCACAATGATAATGATGGCAAACGAATCAAAATGAAAATGAGAATCGAATGTGGATGAAGATCCAATAATAAATTTAATAAGCAGAAAGAGACAGAAAGATAAGGTACCAAGCAGCAGAGAGCAGAGAATCTAAGAGAAGAAGAAGAGTCAAGGTGAATAAATATATATCTGAGTGAAGAGTGAAATACGCAGAAAGAAGTGAAGGTAGCTAATGAAAAACGAAAACATATTAACATCAAATTATAGTCACGCACAACAAGACAGAGAGAAAAATTGCAGAGCGAAACAAATGCACACATATATCAAACATCAAAACAGAACATACGTGACGATTGTACCGCCACAGGGGGGGGGGGGGAGCCGTGAAAACTTCGACTTGAAACTTACAATCATTATTTTCTTCGAAAAAACATGTGAGTTCCATAATAAAAAGACTTGATAGACTTCGAAAACGAAACCAGAACTCATAGATCGGAATGAAAAAGAGACTTGAGAGATTCCTGTATGATACTAATGAATAAGATTTATTAACGAATCAGTCTGCATTACATTATTGGATACAATACGAATGTCATTCGATGGTACAATAAGTATCTATTCTTTGCAAAAAAAAGAAATATTCTAATTCAAGTTTAATATTTCGAAAAAGCATCTTACGCGTATAAAGACGTTATAAGCAATAGAATACGTGCAGCTCATAACACAGATGAATATAGTTCAATTTTCAACTGATATAACATCAATTAAAGTTTCATTATAATTAATATGTAATATAAAGTTTGAAATTCATTATACAACAATCGAGATTTGTATTCTCTTCAATTTTTTTTCATGTAAAAAGCAAAGTCTGAGCAGCATAATACGAAAAACTAATATCTTCAAATTGTAATAAAAAATATTTGCCAATATAAAACTGATGATTTGATTTTAATAAAAAATAAATATCATTCACATTTTGTCACTTAACATTAAATATTATGAATCGAAGAAACTTTTTTCAGCAAATGTCAATAGTTCTTCTTTTTTTGTGAGATGAAATCTCACATAATACAAATAATTGTTGGCTCGTTAAAGAAATAAAAAAACTAAAACTAATACAAGATTTTATAACTGATTTTTTTTTCGATAGTCTTGTACAGTTCTTTGCATTCTTTTGCTTATTTTACTCTATGACGTAACAACACATATACAACATCGATTTTTCTAGTTAAACTAAACATATGAAGCGTATCATTCTTGAATTTTCTTTAGTTATGTTCATCGGTCAAATCGAAAATTACAAAAGAAAAGAAACATACATAATCGGTCATCGTTCAATCAATATTCACCTTGAATCTCTGTTGATTGAACGATGATAAGGACACTACTTTTTATAGGTTCTATTACATAAAGATTCATGTATTTCATTCATTTGAATATATTGATGAAATATACATTTTGCATACAATGTTTGAATATTATCAACCTGATCGATATATTCTTTCAAGCTTATGTCCATATTCTTGTTCAATTGTTGCTTTTGCTCTTCGTATTGGTGGAATATTAGATCCTGAATTTTTAAAGCAATGTCAAATAACAGATAAAAGATTAAAAAAACAAATCGATGGATTAAAACAAATTCCATTAAAATTTGAACCATTGCCATCTACTTTCGATTATCAGGAAGAACTTTTTCTTGATATGGATGTACCATATCGAAAACAATTTTATGATGCATGGGATTTTAAACAATATAATTCATGGTTAAATGATGAATATCAATGGAATGTAATCGATACACTTAATGATGATCTTATTATTTAAACAAACTATATCAGAAGGTTCTTTTAGGATATTATCATTATACAGTTATTCAAATAAATTGTCTAGTGTAATTTTTTTTTTATTGTTCACCTTGAAATAAAGAAAACCTCATCCTTGGGAAATAGTAGGTATCATTAACGAGTATTTGTTTTTGCATCCATAATATGCCAAAGCTTTCTTTTTATGCTTTTTTTTTTCATACAAAATAGTGTGATATGGTTGAGTAAGCATTGCGTCTAGTGTATTCATCTATTGATCATTCGTTCTTTTTTGCTTCATACATATCATCACACACATTAACATTCACACAAGCCACAAAATACACAATGTCGTTGGAGGACCTCGTTGACATGTATAACCAAAAGTTGAATTCTAATGGTGGTCGATCAACAATTGCCACTGATCCATCGCATCATACTCCTCAATCAACATTTACAATGAATACGGGATTTGACTCTATTGCTGATACAACAAATACAATGATAAATAATAATAATTTTGCTTTTACGGATAGTACATCATCAGCATTATTATTTGAAGCGGATTCATATCGTTTTCACCTAAATGATCGTGTACTTGCTGGTGAAATAATTCGACCACCTACAAATTATCCTCCACGTGTTGAACATATTAAATTTCCTGATACACTTATATTTTCATCGAGTGATGCAGTTGACGATTATGAAAATAATGCAGAATATACCCAAAGATATCCTGACATTAAACCAAAATTAACTATAATAAATGCTAAACAAGCACAAATACCACCTGCTGATATTCATACAAATCCAGGAGAGCAAGTTCAACGTCTAATACAACAAGGAGTATTAAAAGATTTGCATGGGTAGAAACAAAAGAAAAAAGAGATGATTCTGTTTTCTTTAAAAATATTCTTTCTCTTTAGTTATATAAAATATCCATATAATTATATTGAACCTCCTTGGTATTTTTCTGAAGTAGATGAACAACAAGGTTTTGTTAATCATAAACCACCTCGAAGTCATTTAACAGCTCGAGATCTTGCATCAAATTTAACTGATGACACATATCAAATGCAATTGCCTCTTGGAGTTCCTCAAAATAATGTCTCACAAGATCGTTATGAATTTGTTCCATTACCTAAAATGGTTTATGAAAATTTTGTTCCATTAATTGCAGCACGTCGTATTGTTTATCATCGACAAACATCTCAACGTGTTGCTGGTGAAGCACCTTATCAATATTTAGAAAATTCCTTTGCAATGGCTTCAAAATTGCCTGAAGTTGAAGAAATGACAGTTAAAGTTTAATACAAAAAAAAAACTCATTTTATTTGTCGAACTTTTGCTAAAAACATATTTTCTTTTGCAATATGTTCAATGGGCAAAAGCAATTCATTTATCATATTCTCAATTGGTTTTGCAAATTGCTCAGCTTCAATGACAAATAATATTTGATTAAATATAGTCAAATAACAAAAGGTTTCTAATAAATTCCATTCATCATCTGTTAATAACATTTCTCTTGCATTTTGATAAGTAAATAAAAATTCTCTTGCATATTCAAAATTAAATATTGATCCAACTCCACACCATAAACATAAGGTTAAAGCTAAATCAATTAATAATGGACCGACATACATGTCATCAAAATCAAGTACAGCAGCAAGTTTGTTTTCGTTTGCAGAAAAGAGAACATTGTCATCATGAATATCAGCATGAATATAACCAATAGGCAAATTTTTTACGAGATTTTTTTCAAAAATATCTTGCTCGTCTTCATCACTAATTAAAGGAATTGATTTCGTATGCAGATCAGTTATCAGGCGTATTCGTTTATATAAATCTGGATATTCTTCTTCAAATTCTTCACATGAATGAACAAGTTCATATTTAACATTAATAAAATTAACCGCACATCGATTTGATGAAACGAGTTTGAATTTTTTCGTTTTAATATTTGAATGCATTCGACCAAGAAACTGACTAATTTCTAATGTTTGCCATAATTGACGAACAGGTGTTTCAGGTGTATCTAAATATTTAATTCCATGAATAAATGGAAAAAGAACACAATAGTTTTCATTATTATGTGCAAAAATTCCAGGTGGATCAATCATAGGTGCCACAGGAAGATTAAGCTCATTGAACAGATAAGCAATAAAATCTAATTCAAATTTAATATTTTCCAAAGATATTTTTCTTAGTGTTCCTGGAAGATATTCACGAAGAATATAGAGTTTTCCATCAGGTTTTGTACTAAATCTGAGTGTTAAATTTGTCCATCCATTTGTTAATCGTTCGATGGGCGATGCCAATTCACCTAACGAATATTTATTCAATATGAAAGCAAGTTGATCAGCAGCAATTATCTTATCACTCATTGTTTTGAATAAACCTAAAGCCTTTTACTTGATAGTATACTAATGGCAAAGTAATACTTTTATTATTTTTCTGTGGAATATTTGCACTGAGTATGAGACAAGGCTTTTTATTCTTCTTATCAATAAAATAGTAAATCTTATCCTTTTATACTTGATGTTAACGACATCTATCGAAAGATAAATAATAAAACTAGAAAGAATTCTAAATCTGAGAATTATTATAAAGTAAAAATAAATATAAAATGAATTTCGTTACAGTTTTTAAATACTATAAAACAACAATTGGTTGTTAATCTCTTTTTTTTAATGTTGAATGATTCATTCTTTGTGTCCTTTTTTAATTTCTTTCTCTCTTTTACGTAAACGCTTTTGAACAATCAACCGAATCAATGACAAGTACAGATGATCCTAATCAATTTTCAATGAATGAATCGATCTCCGACTCATTTCGTACACGAAGTTCAAGTCGAAATCGAAAAGCAATTTTAACTAATACAGAAAATAATTCAAAAAAAAGAGTTCCAAATAAACGAATAGAAAATATTTCAAAAACTGGCCAACAACGTATTGCTACTCGTTCTTCACAAAAATCTCCCCTAACGCCAATGATTGATGAAAATGATAATTCATTTATGTCAAATATTAATTCTGGTTTTTCTCAATTTGTTAATCCAAAAAAACGACAACGCGATGACAAAAAGACAAAAGCTACTAAACGATCTAAAGGTACATATCGATATCTCTTAAGCAGGTGTTTCCAATAATAAATAATTGTTCTACCTCTCGATATGATATCATATCGACAGGTAGTACAATTCTTCATCATTGGAAATACCAGCTTTAATATTACTATGCATTCCTTATGAAACATCCACCTCAGGAATACTATACATATTATTTTCTCTATATTTCATTTGGTTGTTTTTTTTTGAATTATTCTTTTTAGTTACTACCTATGCTGATGAAAACCAACCACCAAATGATGAAACTCAAGACATTGAACAAGTCAAACTTATCTATGAAACTGCTGGTATAATTGAAAAAACAACATTTTTTTTTTTCTAATAAATAAGATTTTTCCTAGATGGTCGTACGAATCTCGCTCGAGCTGCAGCAACAAATGCTCAAATTGTTGCCAATCGAAATCCATCAAACACTCGTTATCCAACAATAACAAATACAACATATAATTTAAATGATCATAATCATATTATTGATGATACTCAAACAGAAACTTTAATTATTCCAGATACATTGATTGATATTGATACACAACATAATGATAGTTCTTGGCAAAGAGATATTGATCGACTGATGAAAAAACTTGAAGAACCATCATCTTCCGTTAAATCACAAACACAAATTGTAGAAACACAAATTGAAGAAGAAATTTTTGGGCCAATTTATCTTTCTCAAACAGGAAAAACACATCGACGACCAATTCATACATTAAAAGCAATTAGTCAATCAGAAATAAATCAACAAATTCAAACAACAACAATCACTCAAACAAATGAAATTGGAATACAAACTGATAATATTCAAAATTCATCGTCTATTCATAATTGTTGTCAAGATGTTTCTGTTTGTCCTTGTGTTCTCGTAAGTTCAATATTAATTATTCATTTAAATATTTATTTATTTTATTTTAGCGATACAGTAAATTAGAACGTTTATTTATGGAAAAAATGTCTCGGTTTATCAGCATTGTTCCAACAATATCAAATACACATCCACAAATAATAATACCAGAAAATAATTCAAAACGTCGAGTCGTACAAAGTTATTCTCGGTTTCGAAGAGTTCGTACTCGCCGAAAAATTCATAATCGAACGGTTATACCTTCTATATCAAATAATGAATCAACAACTGTCGAAGAAATTTCTGATGAAGTATGATATTCAAATTTATTATCAAATAGAAGAATCTTAGAAATATCGCATTGAAAAAATACTATATGATGATTGATCATCTGATCAATATTATCATATCAATATGAGAAATGATTTATTCATATGAATTTATCATTGTTGAAGATTTAATCCAAAAACATGATTTTTTTTTGAATATGAGCTGTAAAAATTTTTTAAAAATTCTCAGAATAGAAAAAAAGTTTATCATCGAAAAAAGAAACTTTTAACATTCGATGCAGTAGACGTACGGAATCTACTTATGTGTTTTGCATATGGAGACTTCCAATAAAAAATGTTTCTATTGTAGCAATAAGAGCATATGCTTCGTAAATAGCTTTTTTTTGTGATTTATTTCTTGATAGAAAGTATCGAACAGCTGCTACTATTTATTGTCGACGAATAAAGATTAGAATTTCATATATCATTACTCTGTACGTTCAATAAATTGATATGTCGTACGCTTTCTTTTAATGTGATAGTGAAAAAGAGAATTCGATTGATCGTTCCTTTAGGTAATAGGACATTTGTTAAAGAATTGATTTCCGTTTTTGAGGAAGCTTTTCGTTGTCATGGCAGATTCTGCGCCTCTGGAATAGTCGTTCAGTTATGTGGTAGAATTCACCAATGAAAGCATTGAGAAAAGTTGTTTGGTTTAGATTTGTCGTGTATAAATCAAAATTTTTCCTCATGAATATGTCACTACATATGCTGACAAAAAAATAAAATATTGATAAGCTTAACAAAAAAAGAATTTACTTGAATTTCAAATTATGAATGTTATTTATGACACACATTTATTTCAAATCTCAATGCCACCTAATTAAATCCTTGTTGGAGGAACGATGCATAGAACGTAATGAAAAATTCCTCTTAATTAATCAATTTCTCGAAAAATTGCAACTTTACTAAGTATATTTACTTCAAAATTGTCACAATCCTTTTGGCGTCTTCAGAGATTTTTTAATTAAAGATTATGAAAATGTATGACAGACAATAGAAGATTTCTCAGAAAAATTTCTATACTTGAACATAATAAAAGACACAGTGTCTTCTATGAGAAAGAAGAAAAGGTTTAGACAACCGCTATTTTAAATTTTATTTTTCATCCTATAGAAAGAATTATAACTGAAACCAAAATTGGTAGGTTTTATATACTTGAAACGATAATCACTCTTCAATATATATGTAGACAGTTCTTCTACAATGAATTATTTTCATTACATTCTATTATTTAAAAGAAACGGAAATATAAAACCAAAAACTGTCACATTTGATTTTTCAACTGATATCCTTAGCTGAGAGTTCCGTACATCAATAATAGAAGACGTAACATTAGAGGGAAAAAAATCGACAAAAATATTACACAAAAGTTACATCGACTCTGCAAATAACATTATGAAAGGAATTCTAAGAAATAATCGAGCTACAACTAGGAATCTTTCTTATCTTTAATAGGTAATTAAATATTATCTCAAACAGAGCTATTTCACAGACAGATTGACATACTGTTCACAGCAGAAATGAGTCTTGCAGTACCAGTTTGACGATGATAGCAGCTTTTTTTAAAGAGCATTACAAAACTTATGAAATGTCACTGTTCACAAATGTAACACTGATACTTAATTAATCTCATTATTAAGAATAGTTCTAGTTTAATAGAGTCACAATAATGAAAATCGAAACTATTTTTAGAATACAGTAAAATCTCTCTAATGTGAGCACTATTATGACCAATCAAGAGTGAGGATGGATGTTAAGGATAGCCTAATCCTCACACTCGTACATCTACCTACAATCCACTGACAGCCACATCTTCAGATAATAACGTATACTTTTTTTTAGTTTTCTTTTTCTTTTATTGTCTTTTAGACAACAACAGAATTAGATAATCAAACCAAAGAGAATATTGAAATTCCGCAAGAACAAAATGAAACTATACCTTCAGATGTTACTGTTAATCCAATAGAAAATATAGTTTCAACAACAATAACAATAGAAAGAAATCCACAATCAATTGATGACATATCTTCAATTGAAAAACTCGATACAACTACAATAATTGATCATACATCAACTCTTTTAATTCCATCAACTGCTGATACATGTTCAACTGGTCGACATTTAGTTTTAACAACATCATCACTCGATGAAAATCAAAAAGTATATTAACAAAAAAAACCAAATCATTTCCCATTTGTTTTGTTGACATTTTTCTTTTTCTTTTTAGTCTCAATTTCGTTTATTTATCAGTCGTTTTGGTGTATCAACAAGTTCAACAGTTGATTCATCGGCAACTCATATTATTGTTAATGAAAATTTTCCTCTTGTTTGTCCATTAACTGGAAAAATAATTCAAGGAATAGCTCGTCATTTATTTATTGTTTCATATCGTTGGTTAAATGAATGTTTATCTCAAGAAACAATTGTTGATGAACGTCCATATGAAATTCGTGGTGATACAAGTTTAGGTTCTGATCATGGTGGAATGCGTCGATCACGTTTAACACCTTCATATTTACTTGATAAATATTCAATATGTTTACGTTGTACATCAAATGATTGTGCACCATTACAAACAATTGAACAAGTTCAAGAATTAGTTGAATTATGTGGAGCAAAATTAGTTCGAAATTTTAGTGAAATAAAAACAATTGATAAAGATCGACAAATGATTCTTGTTCTTGGTATTAATGGATTTTCTGGTGGAGAAAAGAAACGTAAAGCACTTTTAGATACATGTCAACAATTTAATGTCAGATGTGTTAATATTCATTGGTTACTTATTTCAATTGCTAAATTTGACATACAACCATTTGAAAATTATGATATTAATCAAGTTTAATTCACTTTCTTTTTGTCTATCTTATTGTTAAACAATATTGAGTCTATTTAGGTTAGATATGATTAATGCAATAGTTTTGTTTATTTTTTTTTTGTGAAAAAACAATTTATTTTTGGCTTTCAGATAATTCAATTGATTAAACATTTTGTTAAGATAATTTGTCAGATATTCACAGTTTGAAATAAAAGAAATCTACCAGAATATATTAGTTTTTTTTTTAAATTTTATATATACATAGAATTTCTTCTTATTTATCTTTCAGATAAAATCTGATTATGGATGCAGCTATTGAACAATATACTCCAACTGACACTCGTAATGATAATCCAACAGTGTCATTATCTTTACCATATAGTCTTCATCCATCTTGTCTTCACATGCAAGTTCGATCCGGTTCGAAAACAAAAAATTTAGTTCAATTTGCAGTACGAAAATTATTTTCATCTGATCAAAATTCACCAAATATTGAACAAGTAACATGGAATGCATTCGGTGATGGCATATCAAAAGCAATAGCATGTGCTGAAATGATGAAACGGCGTTCAACAATAAATTTCTATGAGTATGTTCAAATTGGTTATAAACGTATTGAACAAATCTGGCAACCAGTTAATTTAAATGTTGAATTAGATACATTAAAAGTGAATAAAGATATTCCAGCTATTTGTATTCTTCTTTCAAAAATCCCTTTGCCGAATTTACATGAAGGAGAAAATTAATGTTTTTTTTAGATAAAAGAATAAAAACAAAAAGAACAAAATATTGCTTTTGTTTAATTATGTCAAGTGTTGCACTCATATTTGATGTTATCTTCTCATTTTTAATAACACTTATTTTTCTCTATCGTTGTGGAAATTATCGTCGACAACATCCACTTACAACTGTAGCTGTTTATATTTCATGGGCTTTTTCAGTTCTTTTTGTGTTTCTTCTACCATTGGATATTTCACTAGTAAATATTTATTTATTAATAGATAATTATCGATGTGAAGCTATAACGACGGATTTATGTCGATCAAGAAATGCTTTACACTTGGGCTTTACAGATCAGAGCTAGAATCGATTCAATTTGGTTTCAAAAGATAAAGTGAATTGATTCCATCTCTAGTGAGGATGTCTCGGCTTACCCGAATTTCGCCAATAAGACTTTTGCCAATTGGACATTCGCCAATGGCGGAAGTCCAGTGGTGTATTGGCGAAAGTCCAGTGGACTCTCGCCAGTTGGCGAAAGTCACCAGGTTATATTGGCGAACGTCTAGTGGACTCTCGCCAATTGGCGAATGTCCTGGAAGTGTATTGCTCAAAATATAGTGGACTCTCACCAATTGAAAAAAGTCACCAGGGTATATTGGTGAAAGTACAGTGGACTCTCGCCAATTGGCGAAAGTCACCGGGGTATATTGGCGAAAGTCCAGTGAACTCTCGCCAATTGGCGAAAGTCACCAGGGTATATTGGCGAAAGTACAGTGGACTCTCGACAATTGGCGAAAGTCACCGGGGCATATTGGCGAAATTACAGTGGACTTTCGCCATTGGCGAATGTCCTGTTGGCGAAAGTCTTATTGGCGAAATTCGGGAATCCCGATGTCTCGATATATGTTGCCGCATACTTTCATCTAGCTCTCGTTTCCGTAAGCTCTAACGTTAACAATTCTGAACTGGCCTAAATCCGTCGTGCTAGCTTCTCACATCAATAAAATAATTAATAAAAGTTTTTAATTTTTTTATGCAGGCTGCTTATCGGGAATGTGTTACGTCTAAATCAGCAACGATATCGACGATTATTACTGATAATTTGAATCAAGTAAAAATTTTTATTATATTGTTTTCTTTGGTATTGTTTATAAAAAATGTTTATAGAGTAATTCAGTCGAAGATTCATGTCCTCGGCCATGGTCTTTTGTAGATTCAAAATCTTATGAAGTTTTATGGCGTATCATTTATTGGACATCACAATTTCTTACTTGGTAATAGAAAATAGAAATAAAAACCAATTGCTAGTTTATTGTAATTTTTTGCTTCAGGCTTGTTTTACCATTTATGCAATCAATATGTCAAACAGGTTAGCTTGCTTTTTTATACTATACATATTTTTATTTAATTTATTTGGCAAATTTTTCTTTTCAGGTGAATTTTATCTAAAAGGGAAGATTCGATATGCTTTGAGATCAAATTTATTTTATTATGGAACACTTTTACTTATATTTGGAATTCTTGTTATTTATGTGGCAATTAATTATAATTTAGATGCATCAAATTTTAAGGTTAATAATTAATGGAGATATTCTATTTATTGAAAACAAGTCCTTTCGTTTATATCCTTCCGACTATAATATTTTTTTGAACAATTCTTACCAGGATATTATTCATTACTTTTCAGTTTTGACAAATATTAGATGCGTCTATTATGAACAAATTATTGTATTAAGTATAAATACAGCATATGGAATAGTTTAAAGAACTGAAGAATTAAAGAAAGAATAGAGATGAGTCTTTTGGAACTTTCCTAAGTAATAATTGTTTCACTTAAAATTGAAAAATATATGTTTTCTCCTTAATCATATCGTATTAATCTAACAGATTGCCTGAACCTAGTGTCATCTGTCAAACAGAAATAGGAATCGCACTGAAAGGTCCTAACTGTACAATTTACATTTGATTAAAAGCTTCATGTAAACTCTAACACAAATAATTAATTTACGTCCAAAGTTATGTAGAGAACATTTAAATCTATGACTGTTCGGCACAAGATACAGTAGAATTGTGGAGGACCGACTTTGTGAACGAGCAACGAGGTAATGAGATAGTCAGATGAATTATTTTGTGAATTAATTACCGCTTATAGAGAGTAGCGGGTCCGTGTCCAGAAAATTAATGCCACCCGGGTCCGGGTCTAGAAATTTGATATCACCCGGGTCCGGGCCTGGGTCCGGATCCATATGTGATTTATTTTCAGACCCGGCTAGCATTCAACTGCGAATATAAGTACTGGAGAGTTCAGATCAACGTATAATATTTTCTGTATTCTGTTTCAAAATTTCTTGGCTATTTTTAATTTTGTAATTAAAAAGTCATTTTAAATACAAATAACAAATGAAGTTGAAAAAAACAAGAAAAATGAAAAAAAAGTAGACGAATATTAATAAGTTACTGTTGGTTTGAGAATTTTCAATGATCAGTTTTGATTATCAATTAATTCTTTAATTTCCTTTTCGGTTAGCATAATGTTTTTTTCAGTTAAACAATAAAATCTTAATTATTAAGCATCACGTTGCATGATGAACAAGTGAACAACAGGAAATACCTGTACATAAATTTTTCCTCTGAGAATAGCCAATAATTAGCTAAAACCATGAGTCTTCCCTTGTTCATATATACAGACGGTGCTAGATATTGGCGAAACACTTAACGGGTCTGGACCCGGGTCTGAACCTGACCGGGTCCGGGTCCATAAAAACATGGACCCGCTACTCCCTACTATTTAATATGATGTGTGCTCTACTGGCGGTATTTGTCAATAGCGGCAAAAAATTGCCGATGTCCTAACAATCAATCGGGCATCGTGCGAGCTACTCTGTAACATGAGTACTGGATTTCAGACGAAATGCTTTATTCGTTATTTTTCTGGCAAAACGGTCGGCAAAGAAGCGATTTATGCTTGAATTGAAATATGAGTGTAACAACAGTGAATAATAGATATATGCTTTTGTTTTCCTTTCTCATTGCTCCTTGATATGCATGACTTTATGTTGGGTAAAACATTTTTTCATACAGGGAAAGAATTTTACAATCGACTGATCTAATTATCTACTCGTAAAAACTTCTTGTGAAAGTTAAACAGAATTCATTAGAATTGTGATTTTGCACTCTGTCTGAGTATGTCTTCAGAATTTTCTTCTAATGTATAGGTGATAATTATGAGTGTAATTTTTCCAAGGGCGGAAAATGTTGTTGACATAAAACAATATTGTTATTATTCTTTTTTGCGCAATTTGTAGTTTTTTTAGATTAAACTTTTGAATAGTTTTAATTAGGCATTCTTGTAGAGCATCGTATTTTCTATAAAATAAATTAATACAATAAGTTAGAGATTTAAAAACCATCAGAAGCTATGCACGTTTTATTAAAAACTTATTTTCACATATAAACGCATGTACAAAACACAAAATCGATTTTTTGAAATTTGTCCTTTGAAAGGTAACAAATTTTTAATTTTTAGGAGCAGATATGAAAGAAGACTAGCTAAGATATCTTTTTATAGTAAACTTTGTTCTACAAAATTGATATATTAAAAAAGCATTTTTCAATCGCAATACACAAACAAAATATTGTACAGACATCATTTTGAAACTATTTTTTTTATTTTCACTTATTACTTTCGAATGGTCAAAAAAAAAAGAAGAGCTTTTCAATGTTTGTTCTTAATTTGTATTGCTGTCATTTAATTCAAACTCAATACAAAAGAGAAAACAAGTTCTCTAGAGGAGTTTTCAGATCGACTCTGCTTGAGAGATATTATAGTTTAACAGAAGAACGGAATATTGTTGAAAATATTCGTAAAACATCTTCTAGATAAGAACAAAACTTTCATTATGTTTTGATAGATTAATGTATGAAGCGATGTATGGTCAAGATGCATTTCTTCTTTTCAATTTCGATATCAACTTTCATCTAGTTTTTTCATATCAGATAATAAAGTAAAAGTTTCATATTCATAAGTGATTATTTGTATATCAGTAAATACAAAATGCTGGAAATAAACCATTTGGTCTGTCTTATTCTTATCCTGAGGAATTGTTCAGAAAGCACGTGATCAGTTAGGGAGAAAAGGGTCCCAAAAATGTCACAGGTGATCAGATGAGAGCAATACTATCTAGTGGTTACTTGTAAAAAATTAATTATTTACATAAAAAAGTTCCATTTCCTAGGCAATAATCTCTAATTTTCATCACAAAATTGTTTTTCGATATAAACTTTCGAAAAAACATACCAAAAAGTTAAGCGCATTATGTAGTGACGTAATCAAGGATGGACTAGGCCGGACATCGTCCTACTACTATTTACACTATATTTCATGGGTTTTCTCCAACATTTTAGGACACTGCCTTATAGAGTTCGTCGGATCCAAAATTTTCGGACCCGGTTCATCAAAATTTTTTGGATTTGGTAAAACTGTACTTTGATACTTTCAGTGAAATTTTCTAATCAGGATTGAGGAGCCATTCTAAATATAAGAGATATTTCTTTCCAGACTTTCTATTTTCGATGACTAACTTACACTGTATAGTTCGGAGACGGCTAGAGCTCACTAGGTCCGAAATTTTCGGGACCAACTTGACAGGATCTACTATCCACGGTCTCCTGGTTACGTCACTATCATTGCAAGCTTGAAAGATGAGACTAGTAGAATATATTTGCTTTCCAATTTCTATAAGATCTGATTAGACAGCTACCATTTCAAGCTTCATGACCAAGTCTACGTAGAGAAGAACACGATCACACCAATTAACGAAGAATTCGATTTTGTGACGAACTTCAAAAATTATATGTCCTTACTACTTTAGATGTATTTGAGACACTAAACATAAAAACAATAACCTAGTTCCCCTAAGAAATGCGCCTACTCAAAAAATTTGCGGACTTTTTTGCAAAGAAATGGATATTTTTAGTAAACTAAAAGGAAACTATTGGAGAGAAGAGGACGGTTCGACATGACGTGATTAAGAAGTTAAGATGTGTGAGACCAAGTTTTTTTTTTTATTCCAGTCCCGATAAACTTTTGTCTATCGATTCCTCTCAGAGTCCAGGTTAATCTAATCTGGTTACCGATTCGGAAAAAATTATTCCATAATTTATCCGTATTACATTGAAGAATTCCTTCAATACTCATTTTTTGAATTATCTAGTCGACGACTAGCGTTTTTCTTAAGTCTTCTCTTTTAAATTATGTTCTGATTAATACAGTTGATAAGATAACCCATTGAGAGCCATAGAATAATTAACTATCATTTTTAGTTTCAGTTAGAACATTTTTTTTCTCGTAGCTTCGGTTTCTATCTCGGCAACTACTCTTTCTTGTGATCCTAGTCTCACACATTTGTATTAGGGAGGGGGTCGCTTGAGGTCACATGATCAGAGCGCCGAGATTATCACAAAGTTAGTCTAAAATGACAAAAAACAAACTGCTTACATAATCTTCAAACAACCCATTACTCTGTAAAAATGTTTCATGTATGACAAAATTCAATAATTGAAAGTTTTCTATTGACAAATAGAAGAAGAAATACACGAGAATAAATCTTTTTTCCTTATCAAACAAAATTTTTGTCACTCATTGTTACCCTTTCTTTAAGTTATCTTTTCCTTTTTTTATTTACCACAAGGTGGTTCAGCCAATTTGATACGCCGGGTTATTGCATGCATTTGAAGTGGACTTATAGAAAAAACTTTTTTTCCAGATGCTGATAAAATTTTGTCACCATTTAAAAATAATTCTTCCGCTAATTTTCTTACAATGCCATGAACTTCCTATTAGAGAAAAATAAAAAGGAAACTCTTAACACAAAAAAGCAAAATGAAATAAAATCTTATCTATTTACATAAAGATGAAAATCTAGAAATTTAACAAAACATTCAGGTAATTGCATTGAATTCATAGTAAAAAATTGAAATAAATATTTTAAATAATTATCTAATGCTAAACGTCTTCGATGAATAAAATCTGGTGAATTGTTATTTAATAATTTTTTTGGTGGTAAACTTTTTGCATCAATTGTTGGAATTTGTTTTATTAATTCTTCATGAAATTCAGCAAATTCACTATAACGTTTTTTTACATACCATTGTACATCATCAAGACGAATTTCAATTGTATATTCCTTAAGAAAAATATCAATAAACCAGAGAACAAAAAAAAAAAACATTAATTCTTACTGTAAATTTTTGATTCGTATAAAAATTAGTTATTTGTATCTCACGACGAATACCTAATTGTGATGATGTAAGCCATAAAGCCATTTGATTTGTTTTCTTTTTAACAAATCTAAATATTTCAAAATTTTGCTTTTATGTATATGTAATAATCAATGAAGAATACAACAATAACAACAAACACTAATATATATATATTTATATAAATACATACTCATAAAAGAAAGAGAAGCAAACAAACAAACAAATAAGAAAAAAAGAATGCAACGATTTAATGTTTTATTTTCTTTCTAAACGACAGTTGTCGTTGGTGAATTATTGGTATTAAGTGAAGACTTTTTTGATGGTGGCTCAATATCATTCTCAACTTGATCAAATGAACGTTTGGTTGTTGTGGTTTCTTGTTGATGAATAGTTATAATTGAAATTGAAGAATTTCGTTTAAGATCATTCGAAAGCATTGACGAGGAATTTGTTGAATCTTTAACACTAACTGCTGTACATAGTTGTTGTTCTTGTTCTTCGATTAATTTTTCAATCATATCCCTAAACAAAATATTTCATTAGTTTGTTATAGTATAGCTTGAATAGAAATAGATTTATATTGAAAGAAGTTATTATTCATTTCAAAATATAATGTGATCCATTGGTGTTTGAATAATTTTTGATAGAAGCATCATAGAAACCTGCAATTTTCACCATTCGAATGAGAAGATCCGAAACTATTGATGTATATTGAAATTTGATTGCTCTTCAATTGATCACTCAGGTGACTTTCTGGCGAAGATTTTCGAAAATGACATTCTAAAGCTATGTCCCTTTTGGTTAAGTCTTTTCATAGGACTACTCAATAAAAAAAACTGTTCTCCTCCGGTCTACGTAAGATCGACATTCCTAGCTGGTTCCCTTCTAAATTTATAAGATTTTTCTTGAAACCACCAATTTTAGCTAATTAACTTGCAATCACTCAGAAAAGCAGAAATAATTCACCGTGCTCACGTGAGTCAAATGGTGATGAGTTTTTAAGTTCGAAATGATTTGACTCTGTTATCTCAACACTTCTGACATTCCATAGTCAGTCTCCATGTAATAGAAAAGTTGACATTTCGAACATATTGAGATTATAGAGTCATGCCCAGGTCGAAAAGTATGACCCTATTCCGGCAGGAAAACACCGGAAATCGCCGCAACATGGAAGCAGTATTCCTGCCGTATCGGGTTGCTGGAACGATCGACCTGGGAAAACAAATATCATTATTCGACTAAGCACGATGAATTACTTCTCCTTACGAGGGAACATTCCCAACTGATCTTCGTCGTTCGAGTTCACATTTTGTTGGTGGCTAGGCTTCATTATGTATATGAATTACTTAAAAGCATCCGTGCCATTGCTGCTTGGTTTTAGAGTTATGAGCGAAACAACCAATTTGATAGACAGTGCCACTATCTATGTGCTATATTTTTGTTCTCCCCGTATCTTAGCTATGGCATAGTTTTTTTCTTCAATTTTTCACTGCTAGCTTATCTCATTGAGTTCAAGCAAAAAAGGTATAAAAATCTACACCGTAGCTAATATATGACAACAACAAAAAAATATCACATTAATGGTAGCACCATCTATTAAATGACTTGTTTCGCTCATAACTTTGAAACCATGCAGCAATGGCATGAACGCTTTTAGGTAGTTCATATACATAATGAAGCCTAGCCATCCACAAAATGTGAACTCGAACGGTGCGGATCAGTTGGGAATGTTCCCTCGTTAGTCACTTTTCCACGTGATCACTGGTCAATTGCCTGAAATTGGGAGTCTCAGAAAAAGTCTTATAACTCTCAAACAAATAGAACAAGCAATGAATGTTGGCCCAGTACTGATCGGAAGAGAAGAATTTTTTTCTATTGATTAGCCCTATCAAAAGTCTAAATGAGAAGTGAATTAACTAGCTTCAAAATATTGTTTTCGAAAATTTCTACTAAGAGCTTATCTGATTGGTATACTACTAATGAATCAAATTTCTGTTCGATAGTTTCGAGTCTTCTCTCTTGAATGGTGACAACCGCAGATGTCTATGATGTTTATATCAAAAATTATTTAAAAAACAGTAAAGTACATTAGATTTTGAAATAGACAGTAGATATGAAAATAAAACTAATTTGTAATAGAATGAAACAAACTAATCTGATATTCGATGAAATCAAAGCTAACAACTTATTAAATGAAATCTTAATAAAAAAGATAAGAGGATTTCAATTCATTAGATTTTTTATGAATATGAAATAATTTTTATAGAATTTGATGATAGATACAAATAATATTTGATTGGGTCTTTTTATAATGATAGCAAGGTCTCGAATATCAGACAGTCTTTATTTACTCATCTAGTTGGTAGATTATGTCCACAAACTACTGATATAATTTCCGGCATTCAATAGATCATTTCCAATTAAGATACACAACATTGTTTTGATTCTAACTTTTCTGGTCAAACTACAGATGCTTGCTATCACTTCGTTCAATCGGATGTATTGTTTTAACTATTTAGTGTTAAATTGAGCAGAAATGAGTATAGTTCGGTTGAGAAATGGAGAGTTTTGGTCTTTATTCACTGCAGTTCACAAGGAGATTTCGATAAGACTAGAGAAAGCTTAAGAAGGTTCGTGCCCATGGATCTCTACAACCAAGTTTTAATCGTTATCCTGTAATTCGACTCATAATAGATCCAATGAAACTTTTAATATCTTGAAAGTTTCAGCCGAAAAAAATGTTTATTTCTCGAGAAATTGAGTTTCCAACAAATGATCGCTTGCCACAAGACATATCATGAAAATAGAGTTTATTTGGAAATTCAATATCTTGGTAAAGCAATATTATTTTCGGCTGAAATTTACAAAATATTTCAAAGATTATTAGACTTATCTATGCGCAGAACTTAAGTTTGAAATCCAGTAAAATGAACATAACTCATCAGCAAACGTCCAGGAGCGCGAATTCATTTAGACTTCTCTAGTCTTATTGAGACTTTCTTGCAGGCTCAATATGAGCTCAAACGGCAAGTTACAGTTACAGTAGTCCTCTCTCGTTAGCTTTATCGACAATAAAAGATGGCTAATTTTTTGAAAAACCTACTGTCTTTTCGTTTGCTCACACACAAGCTTTTGTACTAACCAATGACGATTAAGTTCCATTTCGAAGAATAAACACGTTCAAACATTTTAATCGCGGTTCCCGTTGGAACATTTTCGCTTCCATTCAGAAAAAAGCAACACCAGCTACTTTCATTATAAGAGATACATTGCTATGCTTAAAAAGACAATATTTGCAGCTGGAAAATTTAAAAAAAAATTTTCGCCATGTTTTGCAGATAAAAAAATGACTTCTTTTATATATGTTGTGTGTCCAAAATATTGTCAGAAAAATTTTAGGGCGCTTTCCAGATAAACGACTTACTTTTTTTAAGCATCACTTCGCATGTTTTATAAAAAGAATAATTGTTTTTTGTGTTTTCTGAATGTAAACGGAAATGCTCAAATGAGAATCGCAATTCTGGCATATTGTCTGTTTGGAAGTCTTACATTTTCTCGCTCCTGCGTCGAAGTAATCCATCTCTAGTTTGCTTCATAACGTAGTTAATGCAGTTTAGATAAATATTTTGGTTGTTAAGCAAGACAAGTGAATTTTTTTGAAAGAGAAATATATTGATATAATGATGAATTAAATGAAACATTGAGTAGGAAATTCAAAAAATACGACTGCTCTAAACTTTTGTTCTTCATTATATATCTAATCTGAATAAGTTACTAATACATTTTTGATAAACTATATGAAAGATTTATATATATAGCCAATAGAAATGAAAACATACGTGACAGAAATGATTGCATTAAGACGTTGCTGCTCTTCAATATATAATTGATACCGTTCACTTTTTTTCCATTGATAATACCAATGAATTATTTCACGAACACTTCGATTTGAACACTAGAAATATGAAGAAAAATACAATAAAATTTGTTATTATCATTGGAAGAAAACACGATTATTACTTTATATAGAGATATTTTGAAAAAATTCTTTCCGTATTCATGTAAACCTTCTTCAAGATGTTGAATTTCATCGTGTGACCATTCAGGATATGAATCTAAGACATATTATTTCAAATGATAATAAACTAAAGGATTAAATGCATACAAATTGTTTTCACTGGTAATTGACGAAATTTAATGAGTGCTAATTCTGTATTCATTTGACAGCTGAATAGAGTCTGAAGTGATATTTCATCATCAGCGAATGAATCTTTATGAAAAAGAATTAAATAAAATATATGATAAAAGAAAAATAATTAATGTACCAACATTCATTACGAATTGTTTTTAGATATTCATCTATTTTTTCATAATCATCATTATTCACAGACGATGGAGACCAAAGAAGTTCATCAACAGGTACTAAAGAATTAAAAATATTTTTAAATAGATGAAGCAAATTAAAAACAATTCTTAATCAAGCGAACAAAAAATTTGATAAAAATTTGAGTTCATAATTCTAATTAAGATACTAAAAGCCTATTGTGAAAAACATGTGAAGTAGAAATACAATATTCGGAAGAATAAAATCTATGTGAAATAACCCAGGTCTAGGAAAACAGCACCGTAAAAGATATTAGTTGGTGTCTTTACAGCACTGTTTTCTTTAAGCTCTTACAACAGATTGAAGGATTACTGTAAAAACTACTGTAGTAATACGCTGTTTCCGACGGTCAGAATGATTGCTCTCAGAAGTGTAAACTTATTAGAATGTGCTAATAGCTATTTAAATTGGCTTAGAAGTTTATTTAATTTCTTGTGCTAACCTACACACTGATAACTTAATCTTTCTTTATAATTGAAGAGAAACAATACATGTAATTCAAACTGGACAAAAACTGCCAGTGGATCATTCAGGATAATATGCGCTATACCGACAGTAGATTGTCAACCAGAAAACTACTGTCGGTATATTGTCGACACTTATAGGTACCACGATATACTGGTGGTTGTGTAAACCATCAGCTTTTAAATAGACATGCATCAGTCTCAATCTGGCCGGT